CATCCGTCACATGTCACGATTCACTTGAAAATGGTCCACACCTTATAACTGAGCAACACAAGGCTGCATGTCTGAGAATGTGCTTCATTTATACTATTTGTTATACTATTTGTTAACTGAGTGCTTTGTTTCGTAATCCATCTGGGGTAGTCCTTACGATTGTCTGCAACCTTTGAACACTGTTCACGATAAGGTGACTTAACTGAAACCGTCGAGTTCAAGTACGAACGCATACCCGATACGGTCAGTATCGGAGTCCGATAAATCGAGGCACATTTTGTTGACTATGCTAGTTGGTGGGGCATTAGGTTAGGTAACCTAACAATACCCACGAGTCTTCAATGCCGGGCACTCTCTTGGGTTTGCGTGTTAAAATTCCATTACCTGAAAGCTTTACTGCATCGGACATTTGTAACATGAGTGGTCTGGACATTTAATCTATTTTTGTTGATTTTTCAAATGTGCTGAAAATCATCGTGAATTCCACTAAATGTGTACACCAAGATAATGACGTTTTTCGTGAAAAAAATCGATAACTACCAACTCATCTAGCTGGAGTTTTCACAAGTTCTAACTATAAGTTAGGCTTGATTTGGCCCAAGAGAAGCAATTCACTGCACTTTTCGTCGCGATTAGGCTTCGTCCAATGACGGTTGTGAGATTCGATTGTCTACCGTTCAGGTTCAAAGTTCATACTCAACACTAGCCGACAATCATCTGGTCCTTGATGATCAGGAAATGTTGGGGACAGTTATCAGACTGTCCAAAAGTACTCTGAAGCCCAACAAATTTCGACGTCTGGTAATCCCAACTTTAAGTATCCTCCTGATACAGTACGGGCATGTCGTACGAGGGTCGGTAAATCCTAGCTTTTTCATCTTTGAAATCAACTAGGGATTGCGCTACTGGTGGGATCTCTCTGGGGTATCCCGGTGGTAAACTAGGACCTAGCTTTCGTTATTTTATATATAGATTGCAGAGTACTCGCATCACAAATTGAGGGCTGTACTGTGGATGTTGTATTCACTCTCATTCAGTGTATATCACAAGCGGGCGGCTCGGGCATGAACGGACACTGCCTGAATGATAAGTTCTCAGCGCATAGTAAAAGATGTTGCAAGCTTAAGCAACGATTTCCATTTATCTGTATAGTGCTGTCACTAAAATGCTTTTGGGGAAAATTTCAAGACATTGAAGAAAACATGTATGGAAATCATCATTTCAAGTACTACTACTGGATTGCTTGTTATTCTCCTCACCGGTTCTGATGTGGTACATAGATCTTTCAATACTTTCATTTTGTTATTGCTAATTTTTTTTCTCACTAGAGATGTACTGTGTTGGTACTGGTATATTGCAAATCTGTGCTTTCGCTGTATTAGCGCGGAAAATATAATTCTCTTACACTTTTGGATCAAGTCTTTAAGTACACACGTAATAGGTTCAGTAAATAAACCGGGCTGATAACCTAACGGTAGTCAAAAAGCCTTCCCAGTAGTTTCAAACGTCTTCGGGGTTATGGTCAAATAGTCATCCGTGTTTTTTGCTACTAGTTTGATAGTCAGTAGCCTGAATTAAAAGGCCCTGCTAGTCCATGGTCGCGAGATTCACTTGCTTTTGGTGGCTCGTGTGGCGTTTGTGCCAACACACCAATCTGGGAAATTTAATTTAAGTTTAAATTGGTTAATTTTGCTTGAGAGAATGTGTAGTATGCATGCGAAGCAGTAGATTTTTATGCGTTAATGTTTTGAAGCTGTTTTGCAACCCTTCTCACTTTTGTTTATTTCATTGTGGGAATGCTCATGCAATTAGTTTTAATTTATGAGGTCCCCGTCCCTTGACGTCCTCTGAAATCCCACTAGACTAAGTTTATTACGGCCTTCACCTATAATTGTTCACAGCCGGTCGTTTCATCCGAGTGTTGACGAGAGTCCGGCAGACGAACTTTTCATGGACGAGATAATGTGGGTAGATAGATGGGTAGGTAGCTTGATTGGTTGACTGACTGGTCGAATATTTGGATGATTAGTTGGTCAACTTGTTGTCTTGTTAACTGACTGCCTAATGGCCTGATCGTTTGATCGACCGGCTGACTAGAAATCCGATTGTATCGGTGCGTTCTCGTTGCAAAATCGGGAATGGTTTAATAGCTATAGTTAGAGCTGCAAAAACACATTTAGTCAGGAGGTGGCGGCTGACACTCAACAGAGATTTAGCTTGACTTAGTCCGCCTTAAATCTCGACCAACCTTGTAACCTAGTCACTTGGCCCGACGAGGCTTTTGTGTCAAAAGCGAGACGTTGCCCAGCAATAATTCTATTGATTATTACAATGCCTTTCCGAAAGCGATAAAATGATACACTTCTCTTAAAGGAAACAAGAACTTATTCTCTAAAGTCGCCTCTTCTTTAACCAATAGATTTCGCTGTCAGAATTTCTGTGTTAAGGGAGCTTGGGCTATAGGCAAGAACAGGTTCGCATGTTTTAGGACTGAAAACGAGTCACATATCAAGGATGCAAGAAACGGTAGTTTAAAAACACGGCGCTTGCGTTGAAATCAATTTAAAGTTCTCCTTAAGCAGATAAAATTGGTAAGAACGACGGGAGATAGGAAACGTTCAAGGGTGTACACCAGACAGTGAGGCATTTTTGACAGCAGTCTATCCATGAAAAAAAAAGTTTGCCATGTTTAAGGGAAGCTTTTCCAGTACGTTCAGTATGATAAACAATAATAATTGATAACTGTTCAGCTGTGGCACCCTTTCGGTGCTTAGCTGCCATGCCGCCAGAAGGAAGCACGAGGGTTGGGATACTGCCAGGTTGCGCACGCACTCTAACCACTGAGCCATCTCACCCAATACAACATCTCGCTCACTACAACATTTTTAGGAGAAAACGTGCATCAAGGTGCTTATAGCTGACGGCAGGTCACATCTAAGGGATATCACGCAAGCTTTCGAGATGGACAAGAACAGAAGACCGCGAGAAAATAGTATCAGTGATCGCCTGGGAAAGTTAAGATGCTGCCCTCGTTCATAAAAGTGAACCGGATGTTTGTCAGATGAATTTATAAACTGTTGAAGTCTGAATTCAACGGTATAACAAAACAATGAACAGTCTTCGGCCTACATGAAAAGTTCAATAAGACTAGGCTCCCGTGTATAGTCTATGGAAACAAGAAATATTAAAACAGAAGTTACATCAGGGTCTCAGAAGAAAGGTGAAAATTGTCCTCAAAGTTCTGCTACGGTAAGTGAAATGAAACACGGTCGAGGGCAGGATATGCAACGGTATTTGTTTACATACAGTGGTGAAAGAAAAACCTATTGAAATGTGGAGGTAAGTGTTTCGTGAGATGAAGCAGTGAATTCCACCTGGAGAACCGTTGCGCGTAGCATGCTTCGATCGTTTTTGTATGTGAATTGCAAGGCGTCAGGAGAAAATATAACTTCCGTAGAATATCGCGGTACAGTTTTATCCATGAGCTTTAATATAGCTAGGTAGGTAGGGAGCGATTTTGCAATGTCTACGGTTAGTCATTGGTTCACTTGACGGACTCTTGTGGCTATCTAGACTAGACTTGCTCAAGTGATTACAAATGAAACACTTGTCACTTCGCTGTACAGCAGGGATCAGCAATGGACTGCTTGGAGCGTACTTTCGGTGGATTAGATTTGGGTAAAGCTAGCCCATACTGAAGCAAGTGCATTTGGATGGTAGTAAATTGCCCAGTAGTTCAAAGTCTTATTAATTTCTCATGAAATTTACTAGATTGCATCTATTGTTTAAAAGTTTCCACCTTTGCATTATCGGGCGTAACACCTTTCAAAAGCAAACCTTAAATTTTTTAGGTTTTCGGCCTGTGGAAAAAAGCCCGTTATTACTACTGCCAGAAAACTTTGGCTTATCGTTAGTCTTTTTAGGCAGGTTAATGGGTCTTACTCCAGCTGTTTGTTGTTCAGGACTCATCCGTATGAACCTGGTTCCAATTCATGTATTCGAAGTAATAAAATACGAACGAATCCGTATCCGGGATGCTTGCAAGCGCCCATTTGCTGATAAGTTGGCAACATTTTGGCAATCCACTTAAACGTATTGACAAAAAAAGTCTATTCAGATACTCACTGGGGGATTTTACCCTACTGGGTACCACCGGGACCACAGCGATCTTTTCGTACAAGGCAGTCTCAAATTTGTGCGCGGGGGGGGGGTCACGCATTTTACCCAAGTTCGGCCATTTAAAATGACGGACTTTTTAAAAAAACTTTTTGATGGTGTCTTCTATTTCATATGCCGATTGAAGTTTCAGCGATCTAGGTATCATGCCAAGGTTTGAATGTCACGCATGCTGTTGCTGACCCCCGTCAGTTGGTCGAGTCGCTGGTGCATGCGTGCACACATCAGGGGTGATTTTGACATGACACGTTTTGCTATGTGGGTGTTCCGTCCCCTTTTTTTCCAAATCGTCTTTGCGACACCTAGTGCAAAAGCAGTTCGACGCGGTAATAGAAGTCAGCTTATCAGAAAAGTGCGCAATTCCAGATTGCTTGCCGGTCAGGTTTAAAACAGCTGGGATGCTTGAATTTTGAACTGTTCAAAAACTATTTCAGTTCTCCGGCGTAACCAAGTGGCAAAATGCTGGCGACAACCTTCGCGAGTATTTTGCTCCGTTTTGTTTGCGTCGCAGCAACGGCAGACCGGCTCACACGGTTTCTGTCTCGCTAGCCTAACGATTGCAGTGGACGCAGCAGCCAATGAATGCCTGCGCCTAATTTACCAATCATCCGTGCACTGCCAGGTTGGTCGATACAGTGCTCGCGTTTGCGTTGCCGCTTTGGCACGCGCAGCTTTGTGAAGGTCTACCTACCTGCGCTGCGCGTATGTATTTGTGTGCACTTCGCCGTGCACTAGACGGGTCGACATACCTCGCGCGCGTGCGTCGGAGATTGACAATCGATCGCGTGGACAGACGGCTGTAGACACGGGGTCGCGGTGTTCTTCATCCTGGGCACGCTTGTGATCACGCTCGGACTGTTTCGTTCCATAGACCAGCTGGGGCTGCTGTCAAAGGTGCAGTGGATCCGTAAGCACGAGAATTTCATGAATTTCACGTGGATTCTTCACACGGAAATGTTTTATTGTGCTTCTCTATCCATTTGCGAGGAACTCACCTAATACGAGGTTGTGTGGTTCTGATTTATTCTTGATTCCGCAACAACTTTAATCGACTGACACCATGCCTGTTCTCACTGGTGCACCCAGTCTTATTATTGCTTCCCGAGTTCAAGTGTATCATTCCTGCTCGGTGGATTTAACATGGCAACGAGCGATTCATTCATGCCAAAGATGTCCTCGAGCGGTACTGGTCGCAAATAGTGCCGTAACTATGGCGCCGGTCACTCAGTCAAATGTGGAACGGACTCATTCACGTTTCTGTCCTGCTGGGGTACATATGAGTACCTGTGTACCAGCCGCCGAGCTGTTTACTTCAACGGCAAAGCAATCAGCTTCAAAACCACAACAATCTAACTTTGGCCCACAGAAGGGCGTGCTCAGTCCTAGTGGCCTTAATCTTGCCCCTTCCGTTTGGGGTCCACCAAACCTGCCAGCTCCAGCTGCCAGCCCACACCATCCTGTACATGCTGCACACTTAGCGCGGGCCTCCTGCCCTTCAACCGCCTCCCCTGCTGCGAATCATACAACAACTGGCTCTTCCGTGCCTAACCTTGTTTCAACTCAACGCGACAAGGTAATCGTCCCCAAAACCCCAGATGCCAAAGTTAGCATCGACTCTCCATCTCCTAGTGAGACTGTGTCGGCGCCAACGGAGAAGCCGGAGCTGCCAGTTATCCCGGAAACTGTTGTGACGCCATCCATTGTGATTGTCCGTGAACCACAAAAGCCGGTAGTTCAAAATCATGCTCCCGATATCCAGCACTCAGATGTTAATTTGAACAAGAGTGCTACTACTCCAGACAGAAAAGGGGTTGACTCAAATCATGTGGGTCTTTCTGATTCCACCACGCCATCTTCCCCGATATCAGAATCCGAGGTATGCTGTTTTGTTGGCTATGCGTCTCCTGACATAATTTATTTCTACGAATTTCGTTCTGCGGGTAGCTTTGTCTATCGGACATTTTCCTCTCATTCGCATGTCGGTGGTGCCATTAGTTGATTCGGATGCCTGACTTACATAACTCCATGAGGTAATCGTCGTTGACTTCAGGTGCTGTCTTTCCGCACTTTTCAGAAGCGAAGTTCTTCAGGAAAATCATCAAGTAGATCATCTAGCATTAGAAATAAATCTACGATATCCTTGGTAGATATGGTTGTCAACCAGCCCACCGCAGTTTTAATCAAATTTATCGCTTTCACTCCCTGCCGTACCGGGCAAGCAGGACCATTTGACGTCAGTGAACCGATTGGGCCATCATATTCAACGCGTGGCTTTCATTTCCCCATTCTCCTTATCCTCATTAAAGGAAGCTATAGCAGGTGTAACTCACTGCATGGTTTGTAGGCTGGCAAACTGAACTGAGTTGACGGGATGCGAAACCGCACTTTCAATGCATCTTTCAGCAAGACTGATGAATTATCCTACCCTTTTTGGTTCACTATTTTTCAAAAGGGCTTAGTTCGGTCGTTCTTTCTGTTCTGGTTTGATTGATGAGAGGGACTATGAAACGTCTTACTTGTATGATAGGTTTTCCCCTCCCAGAATCTGTTGGCTCCGAAGTAATAATAAAGATAATCATTCACCGGTAACAAATTTTCGGTCCCTAGATGCCATATCATCTGAAGGAAGCACGAGGGCTTGAATATTGCCAATTTGCTCAATCCTGGACAGCAAAAGTCGAGATGCAGGGATCGGGTTCGAACAACGGACCTTTTGGTCAGTTAATTCGCGCTCTAACCACTGAGACATCTCGCCCTCAATCCGAAGTAATATTAGCATTCGTCCCGTCGGTTTTTATGATTTGGGTTTATAAGTTTAGTTGTTTCCATCTTAGTCTGAGAAATATGCTTTGCACGCTAATCATTTCGATATGCGATGTTTGTGATGTTCATAAAGCTGCGGAGCGAGGATTGACTTCTCCCGTTTCGTTGTGTAGACCAATCGGATTATTGGCAAGCGCTACCTAGCCATATGCTTTCGGCTGATTCGATCATTGTATACTGTGGAGTCCAACCATTTCGCCTTTTTTTCACCAGATATAGGTCATCCATTGGACACATCAAATGGATCTAAAATTACCCCCCTTCTGTTTACTCCCCAGCCTTATTCACTCCATTTCACACCGGGTTTAGATGTCAGCCCATGCGGCTCAGCACAAATCACGTGTAGCATCGCCTATCCTACGCGGGATCTATCGGCATTATCCAGTGCGATGGACCAATCCGAGAACGGATTGCAGTGTACTTGGTGACCCGGTTGTTTGTGTGTTCGGTCCGTGACGTGAAACCTGAAACATTAAACCTCCCAAGATATCCAATTTAACAGAGGCATTCTTGAGTCGCTATTTGATAAGGCTGAAATTCCCATCAATGCATCTTTTAACAACTTAAAAAAATACATCTGGATCTGCCTCACTTACGGGTGTACGAACATCGGGACATCCTACGCCAACAGGCGCAGGAGGAACTTTGCATGATCTCTGTTTCGGTTTGTGATCCACGGTTTTTTTCATTCAGTAAGTCCTTTGGGTTTGCCTGGTTACCGAAGATGTAATGCATTGCAAAAATGATCTGGGCAAATAGCTTTTCAAAAATATGTGAGCTGGATTCCAACGTATTTTTTTATCGTATTTACTTGTTGCCTATTAGTCAGGTCTATGAGGTCTAGATTTTCCAATTCATTGACTGTTTCTGCTAACTGCAGTCAGCCGCACCACGAGCTTATTGACTTCACTAGACGATATGCTTCCTGATGTCATGTGTCCTGCCTTTCGAAGACATTGAATCTTTTCACTAGCCATTCAATCGTCCTCTCGCCTGAGACTTTCATCTCTGGATATCTGTTTGATGAGCATCACTGGTGCCAAACAAATGAGTCTTATTCGAAGACCACCTGAATGTGAAATTCACAGATGGTTTCTTAGCTGGTTGACCCTTGTGATCCTGTTCGGCGAAGGCTGTTCGCAACTAACTGGTTTCAAGAATGCTGGGATTGCTTACATTTAAACTCAATTTCAGTCTCACTTTCATTTGAATCGACCCCCTCTACTACTGTTTGCCGATTTCGGTTGCACCAGTTTCTGCAGCCATTTTACACTGTACATAATGTTAACAGGACAATCTCTCTGACTCTCTCTCTCTCTGCCACGAGTGGTCCATCTCCTTGAGTAAAAACTATCAAACTACCCTTTCACTTAGACTGCGTTGTCCGCAGCTTCGAGACTGACCTCAAATTCATTGCGCTGCTGTATCACATTTCTATCTTTCTGGTTCCAGTTCTTCAGGGTCAACAGTTTTATTACCGCTTCTTTCCAACCTGTTGACAGACATATTAAGCTTAAACAGATTTGTTGGTAGGCACGAAACTGAAACATAATAACATTCAGATATTTGGGATTGGCCACTCCTTCAGTGACTTTTCTATTGCAGTAGTTCAGACCCTTTGGAAGAGCTCCCGTAGCACCTAGTTGTTAACCAAAGCTAAAACGGCTAACAGTGGCCACGTAATTGTGTGAAGCATGCAATTTCTTTTTCGGAGTTATAACCTTGGGGCCTTAAAGCAATGGATATTGATTACTGACCCCCATGTACGGTGATGTTTGAGCATATGCTCATTAATTAATTCCCTTACCTTTTTGCCTATCTATGCCACAATTACTATCGGTAAAATCCGTCTGATGTTTCACTACCATAAAGAAATGTCATTTTATTGAACCTTATAATGAAAATGAAATAATAGGATGTGTGGGGGTGTAGTGCTAGTCTACCAAAGACATTCTAGGTGTCCGTTCTTCCATACGTCTATTGGGACCAGAATGCATGAACGCCGTCAAAATAGTTGTCGGCTATATCTTACAGCATCTTTATCCATGTCCCATTTCGATGGACGAACATCATCATAGACACCATAACATCAGTGTTCAACAATGATGCTTCGCAGCCGTACAACGGTGATTCATTTCAAAGTCTTATTATGAGGAAAAGATTAAAGGTGGACAGGAAAAGGACTTAGTACCATCTTACTGCAGTTATTTCGAGGTGCATACACTTCCAGACACTCATTCAAGCAATCTGGATAGAAACAGTCGAACGTCACTGACTGTACCCGAAACTTCTCGCAATGTCCCATATTCCCTTAGGACGCACCATACTTTACAATTTGTAATATAAGAGACTAGCATCGAGTGTGACAAAAGGCATGTTTCACGTAATCGTCGTCATCAACATTGTCAGCTGTAATAACGGCGTACTTGTCATGGTGGTTGTAGCTGGCACAGTTTCATTCACCGATGATTCGGGGAGCTGATAAATTGGTGCGTGAATACAGCACTGTAGGTGGACTGTTAAGTAGGGGCATTGGGAAGGAAGATATGCATTGAAGGCAATAGCTTGGACGCATGAGCGCGACTGGGCGATGTCTGACAATGTCTCTAACCATTGATATGGCCCATCTCGGGGTCCCCATCCAGGAAGACGGCAGTGACCAGCGCAGCTGAGTTTGCTGATAATGGCTTTTATACTTCGCTGCCAAGTAATTGTTTGACCACCTCTGGCTCTCTTCTACCCTTCACGTGGTTGTGCGAAAAGAGGCCTTCGAGGAAGTCGGTTGACTGGCATACTCAGCACGTGGCCAAGCCAGCGCAACCTATGCAGTGTGATCAGTTCATCTATCGAGGGTGAGTTATTTCTTCCGAATACCATTCGACGAACTTCAGCATTACTTATCTGGTGTTTCCACCAGACTCAGGCAATGGTTCGCAGACATCGATGGTCATTATTGAATGAAAATGAAATGGTAAACGTAACCCAGTGAATGATATCGTGGATTTACCCCCTAATGATCCCCTTGAGGTTAACTGCCAGTCTGCTCGTTGATCAGTTTCATACGTGTTTTTCCATAAGTAAGCGCATAGAAGGCCTTCAGCTAAATAGGGTAGAATACTGTTCTAGAAGTACCACTCATATTACCAGCCTTGCACACTTTGGTACTGCTCCGCCTGTGCAGTTTGATTCGGGTTGCTTCTTTGTGAACTCTTTCGATGTGTTTGGATTTATTTTGCAACAATGTGAATGCGACTGCAGTACTGGTCCTGTCCTGTCGGGTGCAGTGTGAACTCGTTTTTATCAGTTGTTAAATGGTGTTCCTCTCAGTCTTTTTTATCCGAGCAACGAAGCGAATCGCGTCACTTCTTATTCTCCCCTTATCTGGGACAATAATCTTCTTTACCAATTGCACTTTCTCGCATACCCACTGTGATCTCAGCTGCGATTGATGGATAATACACCGTCCTTGGTGTGTCACACTTTTCACGTGTTATTTGACTGACTTCCCAAGGAATTTGTTTAAATTCACCATAGTTCGGGTCAAAATACTATGGGAGGAGGTTTGCGTTGTCTTGGCGATTCTAGTTCTTGAACAGTATTTCGGCGTTTAGCGCTATGTGTGAATTGGTGTGCGATTGCTTCTAGTTTATAGCATTTCCTTGATCCTTAATCGAATAGGAAAATAAAGCATTTTACACTACATTTATTCACTAAGAGACCGACACAGGTTATCCTTCAAACTATGCAGCTACATCCGTAAGGGCTGAGCATGGGATTAGTGTAACTATTAGTGTAGGTTTGGCCATAAATCAAATACACTCTTGCCATCAGCTGCAGTTCCCACAATGGTCGTCACATAAAATTGGGTGCATTCCAACATACTTGTATCAATGTCACGTGACCGCAGCAATCACTAAGGTAGCCGGTCTCTGTCCTCAAACCAATTACCAAAAGAAACTCAAGCCTAAGGTAGGCTATGCTGCGGAATGTGGCTAGCTCGGGTACGCTGCTTGATCGGTTTGGTTGGTGAGCAGTTGGATTCTAAATGTCTGATAGTCAGTCCAGGAGACATCGTCGGTGTCAACCGCGCATGACTAGAGTGGAGATTCAAGAACAAGTTAGTGGCGATGTTCATATCAGCACCCTTCTTATGAAGAGTTCCGCTATGGGGTTGGCTCAGTTTTTTGCATCCATTTGCCGCATAACTAACGCTTCAGTAGGGTGTCATTTAGAGTTTGAACCATCCGGAAAATGCATTTTCTGAAAATATGTTCACAAATTATCTCCGCCTGTGAGTTTCGAATATTTGATTCAAAATGTTGGGTAGCTTTGCGGTTGGTTAGCGCTTGTGTTTCCCATTGAAGTGAACAGTTATAATTTCGGGAAATCGCTTGCAAATCTCTCTCTTGGTTCTGTACGGGAAGTGGGCTTTTGTTGATCTAGCAGTTCATTTACCATGCAGCTACCGATTATCTCAATCCGGAAAATGCATTTTCCGAAAATATGTTCACAAATTATCTCCGCCTGTGAGTTTCGAATATTTGATTCAAAATGTTGGGTAGCTTTGCGGTTGGTTAGCGCTTGTGTTTCCCATTGAAGTGAACAGTTATAATTTCGGGAAATCGCTTGCAAATCGCTCTCTTGGTTCTGTACGGGAAGTGGGCTTTTGTTGATCTAGCATTTCATTTACCATGTAGCTACCGATTACCTCAATCTTGAGGTCCAATGTAGCAAATGAGATTTTCGAACCTCGTTAAAATTAATCATGTGTTTTGTCTTTGTCTTGAGGCTATTTATGATGGTTCCTGGGGAACCCGTCCATAGATCATCGATCAATCACACACGAAATTTTGATCCAGTGATTTTAGCAGGACGATCCGTGTATTGCCCATTCTTTTTGTGTTGTGATGTTGCGTGTATGTTCATTTTATCCTTCTACCATTCCGACAGGGTGCGGCTGATTTTCGGCCTGCAAATGAGGCCTCTGCAAAGAAGACCAAAAAGGAAGATTCCAGTCCATCAGTCGCGAAGCCGAAGGCAACTTCCTCACCCGATACTACGCCCCTGGGCCAGAATCTGATCCCAACCCAACTAGCAGTCAAAACTGTCGAGGACGATGTAGACAATGTTAAGGCAAATAAAACTTCTACTCGCTCAATCGATCGAAACGGATCGAAGCCGTCAGATACACCAAAGTCAGTTGTTGTTGGTGTTCAACCAACCCAAAAGAGTGCCGGTACAACTCCAGATTCATCCAAGGATACTCGGGAATCACACAAATTCCAATCAGAAACCACGGTGAACGGAACCGTGAAGACCGGCGGTGGTGGTGTTGGCGATATTAGCACATCCCCCAGCAAACCTAATAGAGTATGTATTGAGCAAACTCGTCTTGGTTCGGGAGAGATGCCCGTTTCACCATCACCAAAGCCATCTGCTCCAAGCCCGCTCCGATCACCGCAAAAATCAACTAGAGTTCCGTTCCATTATCCGCTTGGAACAACGCGGTTGTCAAAGGACGATATCCAGGTGGAGTTGGAACGCGCCAGCCGTGAACTTAATCGGATCGTGGAAGGACTACCTCAGGAATGCAAAAAGTCACCCGATCCGCTCATTCCTCATGCCAGTTTTGGTCAGGTGGCCAAGGTATGTAAATGCACAATTTATGACTTCAGTGTTTACCACGTGAAATCAATAATGGGTACCAACGTTATAGAGAACTATTTGTTCACTAAACCGCAGTGTGCTTCCCAAGCGCTAGGTTTTTTGTTAACTTGGAGGTTTATTCTTTGATCCGATGGATACCAGTTTCCGTGACCCACTTCCACTCCGCCAGCATAACCAATGTACCTATGGTACATGGTTTATAGCTGATGAATTGATTGATTGAACCATATGTGCAACTCTGCGTAGAGATGTCGAGATGGGTAGGCAGCCTGCAGAATCACTAGGTATACTTCACGTACTTCTGTACTCGTGACGCTGCGCTCGATTTCCCAAGCTTTAGTCTTCTAACCCAATCGCCCCAATGACTTCTCAGTCGGGGACCACAGCCTCTAATCAACATGATCGATTCGTTCCTGGAACGGAATATATACAACTGACTCAGCAGCAAGGGTTTCACATTTCAGTCCTCTGTTGTGAATTCACCCATTGTATATCCACATCACGGTAGAAGTTTCTGTAAGCTTGCCTCATGAGTATGTCTAGGCCAACCAGAAGTTGAATTCGTAATTTGTCACTAACTTCCGTGCTTCTCCATTTTTATAGGCGTTGAATTGTCCACTGTACTGGAAGTACTTAGTCTACTCGGCTAGTGGTGGAACCACACAACACCAGCCAGTCGCACTGTCCGACGTGCTGAAAATGTGGAACCAGTATGTTTTAAGTTCTCTCATTTATTCCACTATTTAAAAAAATCTTTCCATTAATTAATATACGTTTTTCGATCTGTTTCTGGCAGCTGAGCGTATTCCTCATAGTTATATTGTGAATTTTAACCACAGGCTTGCTTATGCTTGTTCACCAGAATCCCACGATTAATCATTGCTGCGTAGGCAGCATGGGAACGAATAGAAATTCTAAGTAACCTAGTCCAGGTCCCATCACACTTGAGCGTTCAAAAGCCATTGATTTACATGATGAACTGTCGTCAGCCGGACACATGAAGCAATCGATGGTATTTGGTTTAGTTTGAAAATTAGCCTCCTCAACATTCAACCGTCTGCCTAATAAGGAGAGTAATGGATCGCGAAGGATCCTGGATGGGGATGAAACCATTGTTTGTTATTCACAAGGTTTTCTCCATTCTTCCCAATGGGTAATCTCGAAGTCTTCAGTCTTCGTACAATATTTTCTTTGTATTCTCTGAATTGCTAGACTGTGGCAGACAAAGTGGTGTCCGAGACGCATGTCCACTCTTATTCAAATTTGTCGTCGATCAACTAATGAGGTGAGCGCTGGATGATATTCAAAACCTTGGTGTTCAAACAACCGTTGACGAAAACTCTATAGATTTGGACTATACAGACGAGGTCGTTCTCATCTTCGAAGAGAAGGTGCAGGTGTTTCTGGTTGAACTGACGAAAACCACCCCATCCTCCGACATGCGCTTTGCACCCTCCAAGTGTAAGGTCATGTTTCTCGACATGTTACCACTGAACACGCTACTCACAATCCAATGAGAGGCACTCGATTTTGTGGGGCTGGCAGTCGTATTGGTTCCGACTGTAGTGTGGCTGGTGAGGTCAATATACGAGTCTGTAACAAGGGCTGAATCACGTTTGCCACAAAGGGGTGTATTCAATAAGCTCAAAGAATGTGCGCATCAGGTTACATTACGGCCTGTTTTGTTATACGACTGATACATGGACTCTGAGCAGCACGGATGTTGTCCTGTCGATTGTGATGATGATGAGGTCAGAAATTCAAATTATGTATAGAGAGAGATAGTCAACAGTGTTGAGCAAACAGACGAGTAAAAGGTGTCACGTGACAGGACTACAGCAATCAGGTGCGTTTCTTCAAATTGGCACACAGAACTCGTTGATGAAATTCGATCAACAACCTCACTGACAGAAACCTAGGTTTATGTTTGCTGACAACACTAGGATCGGTAACACCATTTTGCACCAAGAACTTGGCAATCGACGACGCAGATCCACAATTTGATCTCTACCCTTTGGAAGACCTTTTCGCACGCCTGCTCAAATAATGTACTGTTATCCATGTTCGGCCACATGTTCTGATACGTGTCGGTCTGTTCTGCCAATCAAAGTATCCTCACAGGTCCTAGCGAACTGATAGATTACGTGAGTGGCAGATGAATTCGGTGAATTAGTTTACACGGTCTTGGAGAGCAGTATGGATAAGACGTCGGTGCGCAGCACAGAATACTTGCATGAGAGGCGAACTCCGACTGTGCTCGATGTCGCTCTCCAACCCAGTCATCCTTGTACCGTAAAACCATACATAGATATTTTTCTTGATGGATGACACTGCTCACTAATTTACACATGGATAGACATCTGTTTTCCGTGTCTCTCGTACTGCAGTCGTTTGAGGCACTACAACACTGCAAATTTCAGCCAGCCGCTCGGACTGGCCATCAGATAGTGGAGTGTTTATCAAAATTGATCCTGCCCATTTTACCGATCCGGACTGGACACGCTTCTTATCCCGTAGATCAGTGTTTCAGCTAACCCACACTTGTATACCATTGATGTGAATCTAAAGTCATTCAGATGCCAACTACCCGATGCGAAAAATCCAGCCTTGTAAAGATTCATCTCCGCGCCTACTGACAAATATGAAAAAGAAGACAGTCGTTTGGCTAATTCACAAGATACCTGTAGGTTTACTTGAGGATATAAGAGCTATCGGGTTTCTCTTTATTAGCAATAATGGAAATATCGTCAACATAGGCTTTAGATGATGAATATATGAAACTTCCCTCTTCTCTGCGTTGAGTCCACTGTAAAACCACTGACCCGTCTGTAGAGTTATCCTTCAAGGTTAAATCGAACATTTACTGTACACAACAATCATATCGGTAGGATAATCTCAACTGACAGACCTACACTGAGATTTTAAATCCAAATAGAGTCACATCAGAAGCTGGCTGTCTCGCGGTGAGCTAAGTTGGTAAGAAGCCAGGCACAACCATTGGAAAAAACATCTTTCTAGGATTCCGTGAAGTATCTTCACATCGACTGTCAAAAAGCTCGAAAGATTCCTTTAGAGAATCTGAGCATTCGCAGGTGGAACATAAAATATTAACAACTCTGTAGTACACAGAATTGTTCGTACACACAGTAGGTCCTAACACTGTTTATTTTGGGTAAGCTCCTTATATGTGTGGGTGTATACATGATTTAGATGTTTTACAGCTCGAACAAGAGCCTTGCAGTTAGTAAGCTTGCGCCTTAATCACTAAGCTTTCTTAAGCTCAACAACATACGTATTCTATCCATATCGGTACGATGGATTTTGAATTGGGAACATACTTGGTTTCCTTTGGTGATTTTGTAATTCCGTATTCACGCGGTGTCCATCGAACTCCTGTTTGCGGGACAGTGGACATGCCTGTGCCAGATCTCCGTACGTTGGGAGGCCATCAGTCCTATCCCTACTTTAGTTGGACTACCAACAGGTCATATTGAACCTGTCCATCAACCTCCATAATTCGGTGACAGGTATTTGAAGCCTATATGGTTTACTTGTGACAGCGGGTGAGGGAAATAGAGCGCAAGATAAGCTGCACACTTGCTCCAGACGTTCAGAGCTTCATGCACGCATTTGCTGCCTCCTTGAAAGAAACAGACTTGCAAATACACAAACACACACATGCACCTAGGACGTGCGCAGCACCTAGGTGCAGAACGAACATCATTTTTCGGTAAACAGAAACGCGTTTGATGACCTCGTTTATATCTGCCCGTAGGGGTTATTTTAGCCTAGTTGCTGGGCATTCGGATAGTCGGTAAACCTAAATTGTGTTCATAACTTTTAGGTTTTCACCCCATCGATACATATCTGTCTCGACTTGGATTTCTTCCACGTACCGGTCGTCATTGATGGAATAACGTAAAGTCTGTTTGTCCAGTTCCGTTGTGTATCCTTGAAATAAAAACTAATGACTCAACATGCAAAAGGCAGTCACCTCAAGAATTTCCTTTTCCAGCTATTGTACCTCTATTTATTCACTTTCTCGTCTATTTACTGTGTTGTTTGAGATCAGTATTAAGACATGGTTTCACGTGACCTTTTCCTCGATCTTGTTCACCTTCGCCACTACATGCACACTGTATCATAACTGTGAGTGCTTCGAGAACCTCAAAAGACGATGGATTCCACATTACTATCTTATCCTAATCCTTTTCAAACCGAGCCAGTCATCCTTCGACTGGAAAGCACAAATCAAAGATGGCCGTCGAATCCGGTAGCTCTCAGGAACCACTGGGCAGATGCCACAGAGGTCCTGTGAGTGTTCATGATTTCTGCTGAAAAGGGATTTGGTTTGGATGGCAGCCGATACTGTGTTAGGATTCTGTTGGACCGGAATTGTGGGTACGGGAAATCCGATCTTCTCATTGCTCAATAAAACTCTTCCAGTGGGGCAGTTCGGTCTTAGTGTCAGAATTCCGATCCGGTTATCTGTGGTCAGAGTGATTTTTATTGCTTCAGAACGATCCAAATGACACACGGGTATAAAGGTGTGCAGGTGTTTCAGCGTTAGGATATGTATATGCTTTTCACTTGTTCGGTCTGTTGTCGAATTACCCTAGAATGCCGGTTTACGCACAGAAACCGTTTTGATCAAATGAATTAGAGAATATTCGTCAGTCTTCTAGATAGTCTTGGGTCAAGGAAAACAATGTTTCAAATAGCCTGCAAATAGCACAAACGAGAGATTCAGCTGGTTCCAGGTCTTGGGTCAAGGAAAACAATGTTTCAAATAGCCTGCAAATAGCACAAACGAGAGATTCAGCTGGGTTCCAGGTGAGTCTCTCGCAAAGACAAATTCGTTTGCAAATGAGTGTATTTCGCTAATCCATCTTCACTCTGTGTCACTTTTCAGAGTGTTGAACAGTTGTCCGGACGAGGCAGCCCGATTTGTACACATGCTAACCAACGGCCGATCACACTATCTGGTCCATTCCGATTTCAGTCCACTCATACAGGTTAGCTATTTCGCGTACTGTGTCTGTTGTTTTATCCGTCGCCAACGTTAATGTATGAGTTGTGATGCGCACTCACCTCTCGTATCCTTGGTGTCTTCAGATATACGCACGAGCTAGAACTAAGAAAAAGCGGTGAGGATAGTGTGGAGAAACGTAATTGAGAACCGTTTTTTTAAACGCAAGGTAACGTTTCTTAATTTGAAAGAATGGAAGAACTAAACCCCCTCATCAGATTATGGTGAAACGATGTAGGGTAAATTTCACTTAGATGGTTAGTGGCTTATCCACTAGACGTCAGAAAATGAACCGTTTCAAGTTTGTTACATTTTATAAGCTGCACCTACCGGACACCATCATCTTCTGGAACGACACGGTTTGTAGCTACTTAGTTGGGGGATGAATCAGTTCGGGGCTGTCATAGTTTCAGCGGCTACGCACAACCCGATTGGTTGGCTTGGCTATACGCAGACCTTCAGTGGTTCAGTCACTGATGGCTAGTAGCTCCGTTTCGGATCACAGTCAAAGAGTCAGGCCGAATAGTGTTTCATAATGCATAAGTCTGTATTCTGAGAGGTGACCATGTTCACACTAGTGTAACAATTAGCCCAGCTTCGATAGGTTTTCCAGGTTCGAATGCTGGCTTAAGAATGGGCCTTGGTGGAAACTGTACTCGTTAACGAATTTCTTAGAAGTTTGGTTGTTGAGTGTTAAGGTTACTTTGGTCGCCTTAGCAGTTAGGATGTCACGTTAGGAGCATAATATTTCCGTCGATGCAGTCCCAAAATAGTAGTCTGATCAATTATCGAATCCCGTTCAGTGTGGGTAGACAAACGGGTCTGGCTATAGGATTGTGTTTGTGTGCACAGGCTTTTGTGTATTAATCTACTGAAAACCAAGGAAAGAACTGATGGCGATTGTCCGACAGCGCTCTATTCAGCTTTGGCATTGTTCGGACTGATCTTTTACAATCTAGGTCACGTCATTTTTTGTCAGAGATAGCAGGAGTTGTTCTAATTACTCCTTGCAGAAAATTCGGGACAACAAATGACGCACTGAGGTTCAAATCCATTGTAGCTGCCAACAACATACAACAAATAGTAGGGTTTGAGCTTGTTCGGGTGCCGCGTAATTGTTGCACCGTTCTGCCTATATCTAATCTTTCGTTGTTCAACACTCCTTTAGGTTTTCTATCAAAATTGACTGTTAGAGCTTGGAGCCCGGATACTCGTTGTATCGAGGCATACGTAAAAAAAGAGATCGTTCACCATTTTCACCCTTTCGGTGCATTGCTGCCACGCCACCCGAAGGAAGTATGAGAGCTGAGATACTACCAGTGTGCCTAGACAGGAACAAAGGTTGGATTCGAACCACAGACCTCTTGGTCAGGACGTTCGCGTGTTAACCTCAGAGCTATCTCTAGCTGGACAAACACTTAGGTAGTGTCTAAGTTCGAACCTTCTCAGGAAAGTCAAGACACTGAACTGGCTTGTATTAGCACATTGTAATCTGAAATTTCCGCTTCACCAGGCACTACACTTGCGTTGTTAATGAGACGTCCAATCTTATCGGAAATTCACTACTTACGTGAGGCACATCAGCCAGTATCCCGCCGTGAATGGTTTGAATGTATCTCTGTCAGTCCAGAAACGACCCATCTCGTTACTAGAACTTCCACAGTCGTGCTGTGAGATCTTATAAAACCAGATATGGGGTTTTTGTTGTTTAACTTTCCGGGGATAAATCAGTTGGGCACTCTAAGCGACAATGTTGTCGTGCTCTACTCGACCGTGTGCTCGTTTCGACGCGAATTGGTAAACCTTCGGTTATGACAGCTAAACCAAACGAGTACACTTTGTGTGTCGGTCGATTTAGTCTGTTGTTGTCTGCCGCTCCCGTGGGCTCTTTGCACTAAATCTAATTGCTTGTTTGCGGCTTCTTGTTGGTCTCAGCCGTTGTTTATTGTCTTTTTTCTCACCACCCCCTTCAGGACATCCTCGAAAGTCACCCGGGGCTAGCTTTTCTACAGGAAGCTAAAGATTTTCATTCTCGCTACGTAGCTACCGTGATTGCCCGAATACTGTTCTGCGTGAATTCCTCGTGGTCTGGGCGCATCTCGTTGACCGAGTTGCGAAAAAGCAATTTCCTGTCTGCTTTGGCTAGTCTAGAACAACAGGATGATATCAATTTGGTCACGCAGTACTTTTCCTACGAACATTTCTATGTGATCTATTGCAAATTCTGGGAGCTGGATGAGGATCATGATTTGATCATCAGTCGATCAGATTTAGCTAGACACAATAACTATGGTAGGTGCAGCCAGGTGGCGTTGTTCCGTTTTTCCACTTCACACCAGTTCTATGGGTTTCGTTTATTCACGAGGAGTTTTTAAAAAGTTTGTGCTTCCAAGTTAGCGCAACTTTGTGATTAGATTTACAATTCATTATTCCGTCAACTCTTGTAATACATGTACATGTGAAATGGGAATGTATTGGGCAGTGTGAACTTGATGAGCAGGAACCCTTGCTTTCCGCAAACAATGGAAATTTCCGGAGCGAAACACAAATTGTTGGACTTTTCAGAGACAATCATGGGAATCACCACATGTTTGCCTGTTTTCAGGTCATTTTTGGCTTCGTTACATCCTCTCAACCGAGTGAGAACAAGAAAACTTGAATGGCCTGAGATAACCAGGGCCAACCACACTGAGGAATGTAACCTCGTTACCTTTTTATACGGTCTGGCCCAATCTGAATGACATCGTAGCTGTCTCACAGTTCCCTTCATCTCGTAGTTATTCTCCATAGATCCAGAATGGTTCCGTGAGTGGGTGGTATTTGAATGTGGTATCGGAATTTGCGGAATACAGTGTCTTTTTTTAATCAGAGGATCTCGCCATAAGGACTGTCCCTCCAGTACAATTGTTTGTGCGTCTTTTTTCTGGAGTCCGATCTTCTGTCCGGTACAACGAAAATCATCTTCAAGTCCTTTTTAGACTCAGTGACCTAGAAGAGGTCGCGCTAAGCGTGATTTTATCAACGGGTAGTTCAACAATAGGCTACTTAAGTGGGAAGATAACCGTTATGCATCAAGTAATGACATGTTGGTCGAAATGGCTAAGCCCAGGAAACAAGGAAAATCAGATATACCGGCAAGGGGAGCACCGTCCTGATTGATAACTGGAAGCTGGGTCACCGCTTCCCCATTCTATTTTGGTCTCCTTTCCCGGACATTTGGCGATTGAACAAGTGAGCGGTGCATCCGTAGACCCGTACCTTGCATTCCTTTTTTCGCGCATTGAAGCCGTTGCCAGTGGCCACAGACCAATTATAAGTCTGACCATGCTGTAGTTCTCTGTTCATCCAGACTTACTGACCTTGAGACCTTGTTTCTTCCTGACTTATTTATAGCCATTTCCGACCGAATGATAGAACGGATTTTCAGTGGAACTGTAACAAGGTACGTTGCTCATCATTTTTCGCTTCCTCATCATTGTGTTTGACTCGCTTATCCAGATTTCTCACCTAACAGACCTCACGAATCCATCAACATTGACCTCGGTAGAATAATTTGGTTCTGTTTTCCACGTATCACTTGATCGTGGATTTACAAAATGGTGATCATCTAATCAGTAGCGCATAGGTTAAAGCCAACGAGTGAATGATATGTTATGGTAGTTGGTGTGAATCGACAAGCTGTATGTGTGAAAACACCCAAACTTATATGTGGACTAATCCTACACCGTGTGGTTCCAAATTTCATCGGAGCCTTTTTTGCGACACCCCTTATTCGACAGCCGAATATCTCGTGCGGCGGTTGTTCTCCCAAGGTCGACAGTTACTGGATTTTTTCATCCTTTTTTTTCTTTTTTCATTTCTTGTGGTATCATAGAGTACTTGTAAGCTGCTGTTACGCACCTCACAAAACACATCCACTCGGTGTATCGTCCCTCTGTAAGCACGGATAACGTGTCACCAAGAGAGAGGCAATCATCAGATAGCCTTCTGCAGGTAGCCAACGTCGATATCCTGGTCTCATTTCGGACATCGTTTTGGATCAAGATATATTGCAGACGAAGCGATGAACAGTATCCTAATGATTCATGTGGACTTAGGTGATCAGGGTTACTACTGAAACGTTGAGCCAAGCTGCCAATGTCTAACAGCTGCACCGTAACCCAATTTGGTTGCATTTAGGAACAACCAACTACTAGTCTTCTTCTTCATCTCTTAGTATATTAGTTTGCGTTTCTGAAAGCCTATGTAGTTGATGGATTTTTAAGGCGAACAAATAGAATATCTGATCGCAAGACAAAGATTCGGTTGTTGATTTGGTAGAGAAAACCAGGGTTTTTTCGTAATAGTAAGCTAAGTACCTACACTGCAGCACTGTGGGACGTAAAATGTGGTTCTTAAACTGAGAATGACAATTTAATTTCACTTGGGATGGTACCCGTGTTTCTGGAATCTGCTCTGAACGCCTAGCTATTTCTTGATATTGTAGAAGCCTGCTGAAGGTTCTTGCTGTACCACACATTGTCCGCAGTCACATACATTCAAATTGACAACGCGCTCTTTCTGATACTATCGTAACCTCGGGCTGTCACACCTTTTGTGAGTGTATGAGAAAGAAAGCCTAGGACCTGGTGAACTTGCGGGTGCTTGTGTACGTGAGTAACATTAATGGGCTCGGAACATTCCATTCCATAACTTGTCCGATTCAGTCACTTTATCCATTATCCCAGCGGTTTCTTCTTCCTCAGGACGGTCTCGAATAAAGAAGAAAAAAGTAAGGTGTGGCTGATTAGTGACCGCCTTAGTATCAACTGTCAACAAACAACAACAAACAAAGATTAATGTTGGTGTGAAGAGACCTAGTAATTTTCAATCAAGAAGCCAATCTATGCAGAAAAGCCGAGAAGAATAGATTGCTCTCGCTGACAGGATGAAGTCGATATTGAAAATCGTAAATTGCTCAGAAGGAAGAATAATTCGCACGACGAGTGGACCTTCCATTTGAGAACTTACCACTCGTAATAATTGTTCAAATGCAGCATCTTTTCAGTACCTAGCTGCCTTGCCACCAGAAGGAAGCACGAGGGCTGGGATGGTATCAGGTTGCCCAAGCCTAAACAGAGGAAGTCGAAATACTGAGGTCGGGTTCGAACCACGAATGTTCCGGTCAGTAAATTCGCGCTATAACCACTGATCGATCTCGCGTGATGAGGATTCCGTGACGGTGGGATGAGTGGTGCTACGTCTTGCCTAAGTGCGAGTAAGTCAGCCGATTGCGACCGAACTGTTAATTCTTCAACTACTAGCCGAGAGGTCATGAATTCGAATCTTTCTGAATTTGTGAGATAGTTCCCAATGAGGACGAAACAACTTAACTTTTCGATATAGGTTGACTTCGTTTATAGGACGGAAGCTGGATTAAAAAGTGTTTTTCTTTGTGAATGTCAATCTGTATCGTAATTTCTGTTCTTGTCTCGTTTTTAGGGGGAGTGCCTTCAAGGAGGGAGTTATGACCTATCCTGACTTTGTCTGGTTTCTTCTGGCCGAAGAAGATAAACGACATCCTCGGAGGTTAGTCAGATTACCGTTTTACGAAATTCTGTCTTGTCTTGTAGTCTCAGCGTGACTTTCCGTGTGTATTTACATCAGCGAATCATTCCTCCCTGTTTGTGGCTTCTCAACATTTTAGTATCGAATATTGGTTCCGTTGTATGGATTTGGATGGCGACGGCTTGCTGTCCATGTACGAATTGGAATACTTCTATTCCGAACAGGTGGCGCGCATGGAAGAGATGGGGATCGAACCGATCGCCTTTGAGGACTGTCTTTGTCAGTGCCTGGACATGGTCAACCCTGCTCTGGGTGATAAGATCCGTTTGTCCGACCTGAAGCAGTGCCGACTGTGTCACATATTTTTTGACACCTTTTTCAATTTACCCAAGTACCTGCAGCACGAACAACGCGATCCATTCGCCAACCTAAGGGTAGGTCTTTCTTGTGGCTTTGCACTTGCCTGAGTAAACCTATTTCTACATTTCGTGCTAGCTAGGCTTTAAAGAAAGCATGTGATTTCGAGATGGCTCAGTGGTTAAGGCGCGAATTTATTTACCGGAAGGCCCTTCCTTGAGACCCACCCTCGGCACCTCGATTGCTCCCGTCTAGTCTTCGGTCATCTGGCAGTAACTCAGACTTCGTGCTTCGTTCTGATGGCTTGACATCCAGGCACCGAAACGGTGGTGCAGCTGAACGATCATTGTTGTTATTATTCACTACGTGCCCTTCTTTGTCCTGGTTTAGCTAGTGGCGAGAAACACTCGTTTGAAAATTAATTTCGTGCCATCGAGGGACTCGGCTGAACTTCAGCTGAATCTCTTGTTTGCAGTATTCTTCAACTAAATCAGTTGCATAGAAGCTTCTTCCTATGCCAGTTGGAACGCTATCCAAGAGCAAATTATTTTCCTTAATTTGGCACCGCTCACAAAGTCCAGAGTTTTAATGAACCTCATGGATAGCGCCATGTGAAGGAAGGTTCGAACGACCAATATTAAGGACGGTGAAGGAGCCACGCAATCGGCCCGAAATTAGGGGCACGGCGTTCAGGAAAATTAGTCTGTCAGTGTTGCATTGCCGTCTTAGGCAACGGAAATAAAAGTCACGGTTTTCCATTCGTCCAACATTTCCACAAGCAAACCAAGTTCTCTATAGAACGTTCTTGAGCAACCGAGTAGTTAGACACTAGAATGAGAAAACGGCTTCCTTTGTCGACAGCAAGGGCATGCAGATGAACGTTTTCACCAGTGAGTTGGGTGCAAGTCAGTTGTATCCACGTCGCTCTTGTTTGAGCAGTTCTGCACACTTGCGATCATTCTGGTTAGTTCGTACCGGAGTGGAAAAGTAACAAACGTAAGTTTCTCTTAGAGCTCGTCAGAGATGCGTTTCTCTGACCAAACCGATATATCGTTTCCGGATATGTGGACTGCGACATACGTTTCATAGCTTCCCTCGCACTAGTCCACAGCGGACACACCTGATTTATCACTAATACTAGCATACTAAGGTCCCGCTGACTGTCCTAGTTCTGTCGGTCGATCGACCCGCTTGTCAGAATCTATGTTTCGATCTAAAGCGGATAATTTTCAATTTTTATATGCTTGTAGAAAACTATAGAACTGGTGACTGTGTGGGCGTTTGGATAGACCTGAACGCCGACAAAGTTCTGAACCGTCTTTACATTCATATTCACTCAGTTGTACTGTCACTAGACTGAATGGTAACGTTGTCCTGAAACTTTCTTACATTCTGTTAGTGTTTCATACTTTTGGACTTCAGGATCTGCTTCCCTCCTCAGTTGAAGCACTTCATTCTCAGTGAATATTTTATGATCTACTCACTTTATCTGATGCTTTGCCTGAGGTGGAAGTATGGGCATCCCCAGGAAACTGAGTACACGGCTTGTTCACTGGCTTTCCTATTGACGTACGTGCTCATTCCCACTGTATCCGACAGGCTTCCGGATAATTGTCAAGTTTTTTTTTTACATTTCCACTCTTGAGACTTGTTCGTTAGCAGTGTGAAGAATCCAAGACAACCATGGAGCTCAGCGATCAGAACAACTACCTCGTCACAAACCTTCATGCTGTGTAACACAATAGTTGCCGAATTCGTTACACAACACAGGCCATCTGGAAAGTTGTCGCGCAGTGTATAGCATCACTGGTGCAAACAAGTCCAGTCGAAGCGAAGATAATTTGTTCCTTCCATATGGTCTTGCTCAACACACAAATCGATTCCGTTGACACCCCTGTATCAGTTCGGCTATGAAAAACGTCGAGCTGTTGACCAGGTTGTACCGGCATATCATCGTCGTAGCAGAGCTGTCACGTAGATCGATCCATTTAGAGTGCGAAACCCATGTGATTCACCACATTTTAACCAACAAACGCGTTTTGGAATGTGGCATGAGGGTATTTGCTGTAGCCAAGCCACTATCTTTTGTGAGTACCAGTTGCTTGCCGGTATTTGGTCGTTACAGCTCACTGCAATTTTCACACCGTGCACATTCGTCTTGTTGTGTTTGTGTACTTGCTCTGTCGGGGACGTGATTAACGTCACACGTTGTTTTAATGTTTAATGAATGCAGATTCGAAGCAGCTTTCGAATCGGGTGTTTATCGGCATGTTCAGTCCAATTCTTGTTTGCTGGTCATTAGCCTCAAAGGCGTTACTATTCTCAAGCGTACCGGTGTCACTGCAACACAAGTACAAGTGTAATGCAGTCTGGTCTCACCACAGACTAGCAGTGGTTGTAGTTGTACTGACAATGCATGAACTATTCTGGTTCATTTGTGAGCCATGCCATACACCACAGAGCAACATAATCAGGTTAGTTATTGTTCCGTAGCGCTGTTTGTTTTTCAATCGATGCCGACCAATGTGTCCCGAATGGTTACTGTCACACCGTTCTTCGCTGATGTACAAACCTGAAATCATACAAACGTTCAAAGTAAACCCTTGAAATTCGCCCTTTTTGGCCGGAACATCATGTTTCTTATATACTTTACTAAATGTCTTGCTCACCACCTGTTTGTTTTCGTAAGGATATGGAGGAAGGTCTGAATGAACTCTCCGATTGGGATCGTTATGCTGCTGAGGCCTACGAAATGTTGGTGAACATTGAGGGGCCCAACCAAGAAGATGGTGTGGACGAGGATGAGGCAATGGATGACGATCTGGAGGAAGATGGTGAAGCCGGAGGGTCACCTCCCCCGACACTAGTCGTAAAACCTGATGTCAGTTCATATGCGAAAGAATCGGCTGTTAATGCTGCTACAGTTAACAACGAGAACAATAACAAACCGGATAGCAATTGTACGGAGAATGCGCCGGTGGGACTGACCACGGGAACCGGAGAGTGAGTGAGTTCTGAAACTCGTTTTTGTGGTATGGAATGACTTAAGGTCACACCGCTCGACGCAACTGCGTACACCTACTGCCACTATGGGCAACCTATGATGGGTCATTCTCTCTACAAAGTTTTTAATAGGCAGCGCCACTGTTCAATCGGGTACCACGTAGTCTATGTCGAAGTTGGTCGGAATTATTAACCAATCATACTTTGTCATAAATACTGTCGATTGATGTCACGGTCTGGACGGTAAACTGTGTGACTGTGCAGAAGCGATCGTAGAGATTTGGCTCTGTTCTACCTGTTTATCACTAACTGAATCATTGGTCTCCACTAGCCCATGCTCACGCGATGATTTTGTTGAATAACTTCATCCGTATTCGCTGTTTTTTGTTGTCCGTGTATGTTGTAGCTATTACAGTGATAATTCCCTTGGCTATCTTTCAGAACTACTGATGTGAGCAACTCTCCAGAATCCGGAAGAAAGAACAAACGCCGGCGTGGTGGTCTGGTCAACGGCAGTAACTAGGCGGAACAGTCCCATGTTATCCCATTTAGTGAATCTGCTGGGCCAAACAACCATCTGCACACATTCACTTACTACCGGTGTTCAAATGATCAGGCTGAAGGATTACCATCGACGCGTGAATTGTTAGGAAAGATCCGTCTGCAGGGTCTTCCAGCTCCATACCTTCCGACGCACGGCTTCACCGTATTCTTTCTCTACACAACACAACACCACATTTATTTATTGCTTTGGATTTTGCCCAGAAGTGTACAGTGATCAAATGTTTTCCCCTTTTCATTCATTCTACTGGCGGTCAACAATTGCCTCAGTTATCCCAACCAGGCTTGTGGCTATCCCCTCAGAATATCAAATTGCCATTTCTCCCCTACTGCGATCTTGAACGGCTTTGTTTTTCTTGGCTGCAATATTCTTCTGTGATATCCCTCCTCAAACAGGAACCAGCAACATAGGCTCATTTCACAGCTCCCATACACATACATATGGTCAGCGAGTCTTCCATAACAACAGTCCTCTCAGCTCGTACTGTTTCAGCTTCTTGGGACGCATTTTCCTGTGATTTACGTTCCAGCCTTCAGTGCAAGTTTAGACAGGTCCTCCAGAAGCATCCCTATTGGACAACGACTGTCCACTTCCCATGTACAGTTCTCAAGAGCGTTTTATGTGGTACAGCTGGCCCCGCATTCGATGGGGGTTTTCCATGACAGACAACCATCTTGGTCTCCTTTTTAATTTTCATCGGGAGGATGGTCGCCCGTACGCATATTCATTCTTCACCTCGATACCGTGATGCTTCCGCGGTATTCATCCGCTTCAACCCCCTTTACACAGTCTCTTGTGCCGTCCGGACGCTGCGTTGTTAGTGGACTACGAAACCAAGACGTAGCTGATTACGCGGAGACTTTCTGTTCGTAATGTGTGGTTCCGAGTCATTCGCCCAGTGGAGTCTTTATTTTCACGTAGGCAAGTCTTGTGTGTACGGCTCGTGTAAACACGTGTTTATGTATCTTTTGGTCATATCAATCGGGTGGGCAATGTCCTTGCCCCCTTAAAAACATATGTATGTATTACCACTATCCAAGAAGCATTCGAACGGAGATATATCTCATTCTGGTCGTTTTGTTTGGAGTTGCAACCAAGTTAGGGGCTGAAGATCCCGATTGAAAGGCTTAGTGACCATTCGTTCGTTTCACGTGATTCATATAATGTAGCTCTAGAGAAGCTGGAATTTGTCTCAATTAGCGAAAACCGTTTTTACGGAGCACTCATCCCCATTGTAAAATGTCGTTCTTAAAGCAATATCCATTTTAGTCACTGTTATGCGTTACTGTAGGTGCACTGAAACAAGGTACGTCTTGGTGTCAGTTCTGAACGCCAAGTAGTTTGGCGCTTATTTAGAGATTTTGTTTACTCACTGTTGGACCGAGCGACAGAACAGCAGCAACACGCTCGCCACACATTTGAGATGTCCGGAGTTCGAATTCCGTTGCGACCAAAGGTGTGCACCGCTGGTGTACTCTAATAGGTGGACAAATCTAGTCACCCCTCTGGTGTGGAATAAGCAGAATAATTACAGAATGGCTGTTTGAACGAAAGTGTCTGATTATGTGTTAAGGCCAGTCCTCGGTTGTTTGGCTCATAGAAAAAAAAATTGGTTCGAAGTGGCGCCCAGAATTTGAATGGTCGAATGACCTAACAGGCTCTACGTGCAAGGAATCAATTAAAAATAAGCAACTCGAACAGCACCGCATTACAAGCAGTTGTTGTGTAATGATTTTTCTCTAAGCTAGTTCCCACGCACTGACTTCACCTTTCTCAGCTAACAAGCATAGCTTCCGTTCCCCCCTAAAGTTGACCTTTATCCGCATCATCAAGTGATAGCAATGACTCCCTTATTATCGCACTTTGCAGCCATAACGGATTGAGAACTGATCCCCTCAGGCAGAACCTACTAAGCTTACAGTATCCAATGGAATTGCCTTTTTGCGTTGTTGCCCACGTGTAGTTGACCACAGCGCTCTCCCATTGCAATAAACCTCAAATAAATTAACACCTCAAAGAAATAGTTTTGAAAATTCAGCTTTCTCTTACACTGCGAACGCAGCATCGAATCTTCATCCACGAAACACTGAAGGAGTATTTTTTTCGGGGCCTGAATCGCCTCTGCTGACAGAATCCGCGAAGCAAGCGGAAACGAGTTTCATGTACAGCTTGCCCCTCAACAAGGCGACCGCCATACGAATGATTGACCCCATCAGTCTCGCTAAATAAATCCAAGTGGACCGAGTTCTATCAGTCTGAGACAAATCGAGACACGGGAGGTGATAGGTTGTAGTTGGCAGCAGTCCACGTTGCTTGTTTAACATCAGGGTTATCTTGCTAATGCCTAATTTAAGAAGCTGTTTGTCTATTAAGGAAATGCTTCCATTTTGCCTCTCAGTAAAGCAGAATAACTGGAACGAGGGATTGTGAATACATACGTTGCTGGCGGTTGTCACGCATGGCACAAGTTTTAAAACTAAGAAATGATCGATTGGATACTCACGTGTTCAAACGACGTTTCATACACGGATATGTATTTTCCGAAACTATATAAGAGAATAGAAATGTAGTTTTCCGGGACTATTGAGAGTGCACTGAGCCACTGAATCCGTCTGTGCGTGAAATTTTGTATAACCTTATGATGACTAGAAAACGAGACTGCCGTAACTCTGGTCTCGTTTCAGGACCGAAATTCCGAGAGCAAACCGCGTGGGTACTCCAGACTGGGGTTTATTATAAAAAGTGTAATGTACCAGATGTGCAGTGTGCTGATCGAAAAAAGTTTGAAGATACCCATGTACAAGGGGTCATTGTGACTAGATATGTGCCAACCACGCGTTGTTGGCTTTCGATGCCTCAGTTCGCACCACACGAATGGGGTCATCAAGCAGCTGAACCAGTACGGGAAGCACGTGTGTATCACGATGACGACCGACGACTTCTGCCGGAAGCGACACCAAAGAGTAGAGACAGCGAGCGATGGATAGGCGAGTCAGTGTTACCATCTTGGACAACTGCCCATCCACCTAGTGATAGTGAAAAAGAGGAGTAACTAACTAATCATGAAGCGAGAAGTTTGGATTACATCAGAGAATCTGAATCTAGGGCCTTGGTCTGATAACAAGTAAATGAATACAGAAAATGGCTTGATAATACTGAAATCAATCTCTGAATCGTACGACAAGCTGGTTTTTTTCCTCGAGTCATCTGTGTTGGAATCCACAAAAGAAAGCCGCAACGTGAAACTCCCTAGCTGAACAACAAGCACCAATGTACATGCATCTAATATTTTCGGCTTCAGTATGTCGGTCTTCATCAATCGTCACCTACGGTCGGAGCACCTTCGATAAAGCCATGCTACCACTCGCAGTTAAGCGAACAGCTGAGTTACATGACCACGTGTTTGGATTATATCCCTAAGGTAGATTCACCCTGTACCGAGCGGACTCTGTCAGTCACTTGTGCGCGGTACGCATTTGAGTCGGATGATTTAACTCATCTGAAGAAAACATGCAGTGCAATTAAACAACTTTCTCGCATTTGCGTGACATCTGGGTTGTGCGGTCAGCAAAGATTAGTCACGTTTTCTACCTCATTAGTGTATCATACACAAGAATGGAGACAGCGAGAAACTTCCTAAAAGCACGAAATGATTCTTCTGGATATCTCCAGGACAGATAACGTACGAGCTGCACCAAAGGTCTAGTTGCATACTCAAGTTTGAAGATGCCGTATTGATGATGAAAATATGTTTTTGCCTACGCATCTTTGCAGTCCTCAGAACGTGCTAGATGTTTTCACGGATGACCCTATTCTCAGTAATACACAAACGCGGTAAAGTTTGTTTTGACCTGTAAACGTCTATCAGAATGGTGTCTTCCACTTCATCTGATATTCACATCATAGAAGAGCAGGTAGCATTCTGAGATTGAGTGGAATACATCAGTTTTACACCCTACACTGCTTCGAGCAATGGCTTCCGTTTGTTTTTGGCAACTTTACTTCTGGCTGCTAGAAGCTACCAGAACCCCATGGTTTTTTCTGGACTCTGTTTTCGAACTTGCAGCGGATCTTGCGATGCCGATCAAATAATGGCAGAAGCTATAACTGTTGATAATGTGGGATACTTCTGGAGTCATTTCTTCGGAACGATTCTGAGACGTGGATCCCTGGTTCAGATTCTTGTGTTGTTTTATGTCTTCAATGACTTCCGGATCTCTGGAAGAACTCCAGAATGAAAATTTGATCCTAAGTACGGACAACCCAAACCCATAGCTAACAAAGGATGACTACATCACTATACCAGTATCCAATGGAGCCGGTTTCGTATGAGAAATTTGGATAAGTCTGCCATTCCGACGATGGGTTCAAAAAGAGGGCTGAAAAGTTCAGTTACAATGTGTACGTACTAAAGATCACGCTCCGATAAGACCCCTTAGGATTCGGATGTTGTATCGCTGCCCGGAAAACTGAATTGTCTTTAGTAATACATTCTAGGTTTCGGACAACCAAGTCAGTTACACTGTACCTGGTGTTAGCACTTAGTACCGCACGAGTGAACAACATTCGCAGCAGTATTTCCCGGCAGACCTTCGTTCCAGGTTATCAGTGATTATGCTCCATCCGACATCTATCCTATGGGAGTTACCCGGTGTTCAGGAAGTCTGACAAGCACCTGGCTCCGCACTACATATCGGAGTGAATCAAAGACCAATCAAGAAAACAATAATTTTAGCTAGGTCCCCAACTATACTGTATATTGCATTGAACACCTTTGTTCGAGAGGCTGGTCCCGACTCAATCTCAATTACATTTCCAGGTTCACATAATAGTCACGCGATGCACCCGAGATTGTCAGATGTAACAACAGTGGCACGGGATCACCTGAAACACGTGGTCCAATAGTTACTTTGTGGGTAGTCGGAACCAGCGAAAAGGAATGTAATTCAGAGGTCGATGTCTATTCGAACAGAACAATGAAACTGGCATACAAGGGCAGCACAAGACGAGATAAAGTCGTGTATAACTAGTCTTGCGGTTGGTGCATGAGTGTGGTTCTAACACTACTCGCTTCTCAAATCGTTTGGAGCCCATATAAAAAAATGTGAACTTGAAGGCTAGGGTTCCGTCAAACACCCAAATAGATTCGCACTAATACGGTCTGTATTGCCTAGATGATGTGACGTACAGTGGATGAGGTGGTGTTAGTGTTAGCTTTGATAATAAGCTAGCACCAGCCATGGGATCGAATTTAGTCTGTAAAACTCTAAGGCATCCGACTATACTCAGTCGTCGGTAGGACTTATTTGTTAATACCCTTCTTCTGACCTTATTATGTGCAACGTCATTCTCCGTTTTTCGCCTTTATCACCTTTCCTGTTTTGAACTGAACGCGAACAGCTCTTTGACTTTGTCATCGTACGACTTGTTTAAACCAACACGTGGGTCTTGCCATCTCGTGACCACCTTGCCTTGAGTCAGTGTGAACGTTGGGATACCGTTGTGAATTAGCAGTTTATACAGTAATAAACATTCGCTGTAACACTTCTTTCGGTGCCTAGCTGCCACGCCATCGAAGGAAGAACGAGTGCCGTGATACACCCAGGATGCCCAGGCCTTGACAGCAGGAGGGGTTGGATTAAAATCACGGAACTTCCGGGCAGTAGGTTCACGCCTTAACCACTAAGCCACCTCAAGCTCAGTCTGTATGCAGAAAATGAGAGTATGATGTATCAAAATCGATTTACGGTGGCCCTACGTGTACCATGCGGCGAAGATGTAGATTCTTTCATTCTTAGACTATTGCTGGTTGGTTCACGTGAAAACACGATAGGCTGAGAATGTGGTCATTCGGAACCGCTACCATCGATTGTGATAGTGCTACCGAACTGATCGACGATGCAACAAACGGTGAAAGTCCGGGGTCGGAAGGTTGATCACGAAAAGCTGTACTTACCGCATAGTATCCAGTTTCCATTTTATCAGTAGTTCGTCCTGTCGTAGATTCTAAAAGGCGTGGTAAACAGGCAAACACGTCATCCATATCGCCTGCAGAAAAACGTGATGTCAATCGTTTCGAATCGTCTTTGACGCAATCCACGATGGAGCAGAACAATCGAAGACCAGCAGCTTGTGTATGTAGTGAGCGTGAGCTTGTAATAGCCAGCAATACGTAGTGGGTGAGCTGAATGCGAAAATAATAAGACCAGATTAAGTTGACACAAGACAAGTGACAGAACAAGTCAACCGTGGCTTTTAACCGCAGATAAGAAGTTACCACAAAGCTGTCCTGACTGGATCGCGACTGTTCAACACATGAAGGTGTCATGGATTGGAACAATAGACAGGACTTCGATTATCAATGATAAATTTGCGTCGGATTCGGAACCTCTAACGGGAAGCGGTAGCAATGGGTACTGGGAAATCAGAGGACTAAATCCCCTACAAGGGAATCAATATTACATTTTTTACGGAGCTATGTGCCAACTGCTGGACATTTGAAATGCAACCGTGTGGTTGAAAAATTACACAAATCACGAGACGTAGAAAAAAGTGGGATTATCCTCATTGATTGAACGGTATATATTGCTGCTTAAGGGGAACACCCTCTCGTTGAAATTCCTCGTTTTGGAGGGCCTTCTTTGAAAGGATTACTGTGCATTTTATCATTAGCTGACTATGATGAGGAGAGCGCAAAAGAAGCTGTAGTCACGGAAAAGTTGACAACACCATTTGCCAAAAACATGCACAAAGGCCATGTATGACTGATATTCATGCAAGTGAGACCTTGTCTTCCTCTCGCACATACCTCTTTCAAATGTGGTTCCAGTAGATCCGTAGGCAACGGCAAACATAGGCGGAGGAATGCAGTGAGATAGGCATCTGGAATGGAGGAGGCAACAATGGAAGATGTGTAAAAAAAACCTGAATAAATAGGCAAGCACATATTTCTGGAAGTGCTTGTCACACTGAATCACACCAAACGACTCATAGCTATGCTAACCAATGCCAAATGTGACTGCCGGATGTAGCAAAAGTGAACTCGAAAGACTGGGGCAGGAACGTACACAGAAGAAATTCTTCATCAACATAAAACCGGTGGAGGAATAGACGTCAACTGCAGGGTGTATATTCGCTCACGTGCAAAAAATAGTGGCAGGGGAATCAATCATGGCCGACACCTGCCAATACAACAGACAGGCAAAAGAAAAAAACAGGAAGACACGAGCAGAAGCGGGTTCCACTTCCTTTACGTTTCGCCACTTGCATCTCCCAGCCGAATAAAGACGACCTAAGACCACAGAGGATCTACATAAGTTGAAATGATATCAAAATATCCCACCATGACACCAAGCACCACATTTCAAGAAACTACGGGAATTTCTCAGGCCAAAATAAAGTTTTTCGTGTAAGTCATCGGTACTATGGCTGGTTGACCATTTTTCCGGCATCTAGCAAACGAGGTTGGTGAGTCGTCGAGGTGGGTGCGGACTTCGGTCAATCTATGGCTTGTGAATTCGCATCCTTATTGCCTTAACACTAAAGCCCAGTACCCACTTGCGTCGTTGGGCACAACTGCAATGAAAAATGCACATGGTACCGACTGTGCTAACACCGAAAAGCTAAGGTTAGTTATTTTCGTAAAAGAAGCTACTCACAGGTTGTTGAAAGCCCAGTACCCACTTGCGTCGTTGGGCACAACTGCAATGAAAAATGCACATGGTACCGACTGTGCTAACACCGAAAAGCTAAGGTTAGTTATTTTCGTAAAAGAAGCTACTCACCAGGTTGTTGAAAACTCTTCGACAACCCACGACCGGTTTCGGGCTTCTTGGGGCTCATTAGGTAGGCGTACTACCCAGTTTCCGTCAGCCTTATGTTCTACTTGAGTGTCAAATTAACACATGCAAACACTCACAGGTTTAGCTAATCGTGACTCTTTTGGTGCTGAATAGCTTTTCGAGCACGCCAGCCGCAGGTAAGAGTCATCATCATCGATAACATAATATCAGTGTTCAATACTGATGCTTCGCTGCCATACAACCATGATTTATTGGAAAGTCTTATTATGAAGAAAGGAATAAAGGTGGATGGGGAAGGGACTTAGTGTTAGGTTATTACAATCATTCCGAGGTGCCTACACATCCAAACACTCCTTCAGGCAATCTGGATAGGAACTGACAACAAGAACGCTATTGGCATCCGTTAGCAGCCATGTGTTGCGGAGTATCAACCAGGCGCGGTGCGAATCATGCGGTTCTCACCCTGAAAGACGGGTATCACCAACAGCACCCAGATTTTTCGAAATCGCTTCCGCACTCCTCTGCCAGGTCAAGGGTTGGCCACCTATCTGCATTGGGCACGGCAAACAGCACTTTGTTCGGAAAACGATGGTTCGGTGCATGCAACACATGGCCTAACCAACGCAGCTTCTGGTGCTGAACACATTATTCAATGGAAGACCTTGTTGCACAACCAAAAACTCGCTTTCTAATAGCCTCATTACGGATTTGCCGACTCACACGAGTTATGGTTCTGAGACAACGATTGTCGAACACCTGAAAATATCTCAGTTCCACTGATCGAACAGGCCAAGTCTCGGTCGTATAACAAAACAGTAGGGTGACCCACACGTCCCTTGAAATTCGGGGATATACCGCTTTAGCACCATAGGTATCTCAAACTAGCAAACGCAAACTGAATCTTGCATATTCGTGGACTGACCTATTCTGTCACACTTCAATCAGAACTAATGTAACTTCCAAGACACGTAAAACGCTCCACAACTTCGAGTACCTCTCCCTGGACTGTAAGTGAAGCGTTCAGTGACCGACTGTCCAAGAGTAATATCTTATACTTTGTGAGTGCAAAGCGCATGATTGTAGTCAGCTCATCCAAAAATACCTGAACCTTCTCCTCTTCGAAGACGAGGACAGTGTCGTCCAGATCAACAAGGATTTCGTCACAGACTATTTGATCACCAGGGTTTTGAAGACATTCCAGCGTTCGTCTCATTAGTTCATCAATCACGAAACTAAATATGAATGGACAGACAGAGGCACCTCTGATGGAAGCCTTTCGAGAGCTTTCACATCAGAAGGCCTGAGGATACAATGAAATTATTTTCACAAACTTCCGGGGCATTGTTTAGGGGAGGGGGGGCAAATGTTTTAACGAGAACAGACCGGTCAACCGAGTCGAACATGTCATGGAAATCCAGGAATACTGAAATCGTGGGTCATATGTACGTGTGGCTTCGTTTTAGCACCTGACGGAGTGTTAAGATTCGATCAAAGCAACCCCTACCAAGCTGGAATCCAGCTTGCTGTTCTCGAATAAGTGTTTCACGAGCCACCATAAAGCTATGAAGGAGAATGACACGAAAAGTCGCGTTCAAGTCAGGTTCCAGCTGATCACCTGATGATTATCGAACTCACTATCACCGATTCTTCCCAGGCGTCCGGATGTCTCCTCTTCCGAGGAGCTGAATGAGGACTTAACCTCCATCTTTGAATAATGCGGATGGGAGGTCACCTGGACAAGGAGCTCCGCAGCATTTGAGTCATTGAACTCCGAGGCGGTAGGGGATTCCAGGTTCAGCGTTCGGAATTCTGTTTCACTTGCAAGATCCAATGGTGGTAGCTGGTGGCTAGTGGACCTGTTTTTCGAAAGATCTTCCAGTCTCAGTTACTAGGCGATTTGTCCGCACCTTATGCGGTCCGAGAAAAAGAAGGGAGAACCGGCTCTGAACGAGCACGTGGTCAGAATCCACGAACGTATTCCAAAACAACCGCCAACGCCAACTGATGCCAAAGTAATAAAGTTGAGTTAGTAGCCAGCAAGTCGGTGGAGGACACCATGCGACCAAACGATTTCGGCTATTTCGAAGGTTAGTACTGCATAAAAACCGCCGGCGGTCAGCACATTGCAAAAGCAATCGTCCACCATTGTCCGTCCAATCCTAATTGAGTCTTAGCTGCGCTACGCCTGCCTACTTGTGCATTTAGATCTCCGACAACCACCACTATATCTGAGCTTTTGAGTCGCCGCAACAGGAGATTCAGGAAGTCATAAAACTCGTCCTTTATGTTGTCAGAGCTCCATTTGTTGGGTGTAAGCAGACACGATAAACAAAGAGCGATGAATTTCCTGGTCGTAAGACTGCCTCATTGACGTTGCCAGATGAACGGCACAGAGAAGACTATCACCGAGTATCCAGACAAGCAAGGATCCTTCGGCCCGGTGAGTTAAGATGATACCGACCCCTGCACACCCTGCCGCAGCAGTCTCTGGGTAGCCAGATGTCCGCAGCGGGAAGCGAGTGGAGAGTGATGGGGTGGTTAACTCAACCACTGTGCACGAATCTTGAATTCTTGTTTCTGATACAATACACACATCAATGTCAAACGAGCTTAGGGTGAGAACAAGAGCAACTTGTCCTGCTTGCTTCAGAGTGCGGACATTGAAGGCGGCCATATAGACCGGGTGTCGAGATTTGAGGGTTGATGTCAAGATGCCTGAGGATATCAGCGCTGGATGACGCTCAAATGTTGCTGGTAAAACTGACGCAGTATGAATAGAGCCATTAGTCCTAACCACTGGCCTACAATCAGAGAGTCATTAATGGGATGTGGCGAGGGGGAAGAAAAAGCATGTGAAGGAGAAAGAAGGGAGGCGTCAGCAGTAGCCTGTTTTCGCTTACCCGCCCTTATGTATGCAGCGAGTAAGGCGACCCGGCTGGTGGCACCACACGACGGTCGGTGTGGCTTGGGATTATTTGTAAATATGAAATTCATGGTTTTACGTGGGCTGGGATGCTGCAGGGGCGCCTACACCTGGACAGAAATACGATTAATGCCCTCAACCAAAGCTTTTGGTTGACTAGAATGTCCGTCACAGCACACACAGACACAGTCGGTGTAAACTCCGATCACCAAGACACACGTCAGTGAACCATGGTACTAGAAAGCACAAGAGGAAAACTGCGGACAACTCGTGACGGCGGATCGATCTAAATTTTCAATTCAATATAGCAAAATTTGTCGAAGAAACACGTTGAAATCTGCTGAGTCTGAACAACACAACTAAATAAGTTCACAAGATCTTCCCGCACGTTGAGGCCATTAGCAAATGGTGACTCAAGTTAATGATCTCGCTTTGATTCCCGTGGGAAAACCATTACGCGCATTTCGCACAATAAAGGTTCTAGTCTTCTGAAGGATGCGCAAAGTGTTTGGCTAACAATGCTTTTCTAATTCAGGTGTATTCGGTCGAGTCCCACTCCGCATTTTTAAGACAACAAACTAATGTTGCTGCCTATCGCCAAATACAACCCTTCCAGACGTTGACGACGTATATAACATTATTATAACGCGGTGCGTGCTTTCAGAACTAAAAGACTTTTACAGATACCAACCGTCTAACCGCTTTAAATAGGATCTGATAGCAGAGGTGTACATCACATGCAGGACGGGAAGAAGGAAAAATGATAATTTAACAAGTTTGAGATCCATTCAGATTGACAAACCTCTTAACCTCTCAACAGAATTCTGTTGTTCTGTGCTTGAACTGATAACCAACGCACCGGAGAAGGCATTGATTTGCTCAACCAACGGAAGAGTCACTAAATAGAACGTTTTCTGTACGAACAAACCCGTTCCTTCCCAATGACAAACATCCGAAGTCGCATCTCCTGGTGGGCCAGTTGAGCAAATTGTGGGAAGCACTTCCAAAAATTCACAAATTCGTGTTTCCAACAAACTAAAGTTCTTGTTTGGGTGGGCTTTTTCAGGGGATCGGAGAAAGACAGACGATAGCTTGTCGAACACTACTCGACGACTTGGTCCAGGATGAGCCAACAGACTCTGAAGACAAGCAACAAGCCAATGACAAGCGAATCGTTCCAAACCATCCAATGAGGGACAGTCGTTCCACAGCCGGTCGAAGGTTGTTACTACATGTGAGTTGATATCTGTACCGAGAAGAAACAAGACAAGTTCATGCGCACTAATGACATCAGCAACTCAGTACAGAAAAAAAAAACTAACAGACTGGTGGATGACGAAAAATGGAGATCATTCGTCTATGATGTGAGCATATCAGCAATCAAAATCGACTCGAATGAAATGAGAGAAAATGTGGATCGTTCTCAGAACGAGATAGGGTTCTATGTGATTAGAGAAGAATCACTTCACAGACAAAATCCACTTGACGGATAGTATTCTGACCTTGACTAATAGGGACCGAAAGGTTGGAACACGCAATGACAGAACTGGGCTATAAGTTTCATCGAATCAGGTATTAGCAGATGACCCGGAACATAACTTCCACAAATCATCATGCCAAACAAAGAATATGGTAATAATTCCTTTGGAAGATGCATTCCAGTAAGCGGCCGCACCATGTCAGCTGCTTTACTGAAAACAAGAACATCCAGCGAGAAAGACAGGGCTAAAAATAGTAACAGATGTAGACACGGTAAAGGGAAAACCAAACGATAAGGGATGGAGGCGGACAAATCTAATACTGATCCGAAGCATTCGCACACACTGTTGAAACAAGGAATTCTTCCAGACATTGCAGTATTAGATTCTAGCAAAGCACCTGAGTACACAAGCCTTCAGACCAATCGACCGCGCGTTGATGATGCCTCCTCAATTAGTGACGAAACATCTAACAAGCCACGTGTCAAGCTTGACCAACAAACTAAGAAACAAGCAACACATTCAAGCTAGCCGTATTTCGCAACAATCTCAAGGATCGAGAACTCAATCAGTCAGAAGTCAAAGAGGTGTGTGACTGAATGCTGTGGTTTATCGAGAACTCAATCAGTCAGAAGTCAAAGAGGTGTGTGACTGAATGCCTGTGGTTTAATAACAAGGAAGCTCAGATAACGATGTTTATGCGCATCAAGAAGTTATTGGTGAGGATTTATCCCCCTCTGGTCTAGTTGCCTTTTCATCTACACAATGAATGAATAGAACACTCCCAACCAACCGCAATCGTAACTTCACATAGATCAGCACAAGAAGGGCATGTAGATATCCGACAAGCTACTACACAACTCTGTTGGGTTAAGCAATAACCTAACGATATCAGAGTTTTGTGGTCTAGCCAATAATTAAGGATAACTGAGTAACTCGGAAACATTCTTCAACAAAAAAGAAGCTTAGTTTACCTGAATCTAGAGGCTCGGTACACTTATTCAACACTGAAGCATAGGCTTGCGCGACCGTTGCAGTGATATATTCAAAGATTGAGTTCTCCAATCGAGCTGATGGTGTGGTATGAGTCGCTAGTTGGAATAGCTTGAACATGATATCTGAGGGACCCATAGTTTCGAGCACCTGAAAATGAGAAATTAGTGAGCAGCACAGATGAGCAAATAAGCAGTTTCTAGATCAAGTGAATCTCCTTAGAGGGGAGATCATGCAAACAGGTAATCTGATCTGGAGAGAAATAGAACGGGTATGACGGTGTCGCAGTTACGGTTGCCCAGTGAGTAGATTAACCGATTACAGAAACAGAAGTTCAGTGGATAGTTGTCTCAGGAACCCAGAACGAATTTATCTATGAGTATAATAGACACCGTACTCGAGCTCAAAAGTTCTTTCAAGCTTTTTCATGTACGTGGATTACGAAGTTTAAAGTTGTACTCTATGGGATACATTGGAAACAGCTAGAAATACTGAATTCTATTACAGATTGTTGTCACACGCAAGAGTTGAGAGATTCAGATTCAAATCCGCCAACAAATTCAATTATTTCCCCTTCCACGATGAGTAAACTTCAGGCGGACCAAGATATCCTCGGACGTGACTATTATTTCGAAGCCTTGCACGCTTAGTAGCAAAAGTTAGTGTTTGCGGACATGTTCGGTAGGTTTTGACAGAGCCAGACAGAATGCTCCCATCGACAGTAGAATACATGAAAGCAATGCACATGGGTGACTGAGCCGTACACCTGTGCCACAACAAAACAAGCCTGTATAGTGCACACGGACACAAATTAAGACATGACTGAATAATCAACTGAATCTCTTTTCCATGGTACTCTTCAACCGAATGTGCTGCACTAAAACCACTCTGTCCTAATCGAGAGAGTCTCCCATCACCACCAAATCAATTTACAAATGAATGCAGCTCGCCCATTGCGTATAACTAGTGTTCGATTAGAACACGGAAACCCGGGGACTACGCCTAACTGACAAACCCCAGAGAAGGGTGAAACCGGTCGTAAGCTGTCAGAGTTTTCAGCAACCATATAAGTAATGTGTTATGTCAAGAAAACTGCAGTGTTCATTAGAGTCCAACATCTGGGTTGTACCTATCGCTTCGAAGTCTCCTCACATAAAAAACAGAATAGAAAAAAGCTGCGGGGTAATATGTACTCAAACGGTATAAAACGATTGGGACTACAGAAGTAGTGAGTTATCAAATGTTGTTTGCCCACATTTTCTATATTCAGTGATTCGATCAGCATCCAAACCAGCTGACACCGTGAGAGACCAATTGTCAAGTCAAAGTCCCATTGACTACGTGTGATAGTGTAGCGGTGGGTTAGTAATAGAAACGAATTATTGGTCCCGTACTGCCCACTGGTGATTCTGGATCATTGCCAAACGGTATTGATACTGAGGTGGTACCTCCTCGACAGTAGAATAGCTATTTTGGGAACTAAAAACTGTCTACAGTTCAACCTGGATTGGGTTGTTTTTCTTTCGAGAGGCAGATCATAACGAAGTATTCCACACCAAGAAAAACGTCATCTTCGCCTTTTCTGCTGCAAAGAAAATTACCTTAGTCGTCTACCGTAATTCTTCAATTATTTCCAGACCGTTTTTCGTACACGCGATTCATCTTTTAACCGACTAATGAGAAAACAGACGTAGTGTTTAAAAATAGAGTAATCAATGGGACCGAAATGCAATTAGGTAATGACCTATTCATTATCATCAGGGCATTGAAACAGCTGAACATGGGAAACGTAATGAAAAAATGATTACGCCTCGAAACACGAACTAGGTCCAGCTGGTACTATAGAACGGTGGTTATAGGTAATTAGTGCTAGTCTAAAAATTCATGTGAAACGCGTTCGATCGATTATAGGAAGTACGGGGCTGACGTTTATCGATCGGTTGACCATATTCAGGCGGGGAGAATCAAGAGACCAGGGATGGGGTGGAGCCAAGTGCCTCACAGTCAGAAACTCTCGACTGATATCTGGTCTATCTATAGAACACATGTACACAAAACGCTGGAAATTCATGGAATGCGATAGATGTTTGCGATCATCTCGGTTTGTCCGAACCGTATTGAATATCACTCTCGAGAACGCATTGCGAGATGGCGCTAGGCACATATCGTTTCTAGAACGCACGGAGCCTCCTGTTCAATGGTTTTCGATACCAGTTCGATACAACAGAGACAGACGGTATTACATTGAGTGTACGAATACCCATTTCTATCCAATAACCCAATTTATCCGGCATTGTCTAATGTTCTTAATACTAGTCATGCTGCTTTTGGTGCCATGACATCGAACGCCAAGAAGCACCACACCATTGTATCGCCGTAGGTTCTATTTATCCACATTTATATTCCAAAAAGCATAATCAAAACACCACCTGCAGGAGCTGCTTAGAGCCAACTACGCAGAGGTTCGCAACCTATAACCACCTTGGTAGCCACGATACTTGGGGAATTCATGTCTTGAACTCTAATCCATTGCACAATGTTGTTAGATCGCCTAGTCGGGACTGGGTGAATTACCGGTACAATCAGTGATTTCGATCAACAGAGGAATTCCTACGCAGCCACTGTGAATCCTGCGTTAAACTTCGTCAGACCGAGAAATTGAACAGTGTGGGAAAAAGATAGCAGAACGGAACAACTTAAAGGATGAATAGTCCTGACCAGGAATGGGTGTAAAAATAGTTTGGTAACAGACCGTCTCGTTATGTGCGCTGCAGGTGGGAACAACACGTGGTTTCAGTTGGTGAGCGTTGGAAGTGCACAGTTGTTCGCGGGATGTTGCAAGCTTTTCAGGTTGCTCTACCCCTTGATGAACGTGCTTAGGGGCAGAACCGAAGGCTTACACAGGATGACTAAGCCCAAGAGTCACGTGCCCGTGTTAGAATCAGACAGAACCATGGCTAACCAACTGTTGCTAGGGCAACCGTTAGTTGTGAAATTACAATGGATGAGACAAGAGCAACCGGAAGACTTACTGATCCCCTCAATGCAATAATTACGGAACAGAACAAAACGCAAATCAGGGGTTCGTGGGCCAATACCTGAAAGTGAGGACGGGAAGTAGGACAGAACGCAATCGGTGCAGTAACAAATATAACAACACAGATTGCGTGGTGTTCGCAATATAAATCATTTTCACTTGTTGAGGACGTAAAATATGTTACATTTTTAGATGAAAGGCACAGTAAAAAGCAGTGAGCACCTAGTGATAAAAGGTGCGGTGGGGTCAGTTCCAGGATAAGCAGGTCACCTGAATCATTGCATCATGTTATGTTATGCTCTAATTGACTTAACGCCTGTGGGCGTTGGTGGTCCAACAGTCTTGAAAGCTTCAGAGCGATCATAAATGCTCCTAAGTCCCATTAGCAGTAGTGAGTGAGAAACTATTTAAATCAAGATCATAGTCGTTCCATGTGGCTTCACACTAGACCATTGGAACATAGAATCGTGAAAACGCCCAGGAAGGTAAAACTTCCCTCTGACTTAAACAATGACAGGCTAGTGAAAAATTATTCATAATATTAACAGGTGAATGAAAAGTGTGGCAAGGAGTAAAGGCAGAGGGAACCAGCAGAAAAAAGAAGCCTCTTTGTGTCTTCTTCTCAGCACTAATGCCGAGCAGGACAGGTTCATATGTCCTCGTATTGGACCAAACACGCCCTACGACCAGACTAGCATTGTACCCAAGACAGAGGTCCTACTGTGACTCATATTACTAACGCCATAAGGCATAAACACAACTCTGACCTGAAACTAAATTTCCAAGCTGTGTGATTACGCGCAGTCTCTGCAACCACAGGCCATATGTCTCAGACCTACTCTCAGTGTAAGCCCGACCACTCAAGACCACGTGTCATTCAGTTCAGTTGAGGTGAAAAACTACGCATACAGGAGGGATTGGTGTCCTTTTCAGAGGATATCTAAACACTGATAAGAAAGGTTGCAAAAGCCATGTAGCTAGGGCAGCTTTACACAGCAGCTCAATATCAAGAACACGCAAGTGTAGGTAACCGATTACGTGGCATAAAGCATGTAAGAAGCAAGTCATCTAGTTTTCATAAAGGAAACTACTCACAAGGTTGCTGAAAACTCTTCGACAGCCCACGACCCATTTCGCCCTTCTTGGGGCTCATCAGGTAGGCGCAGTCCGCGAGTTTCCGTCAAACTTATGTTCTACTTGAGAAATATACTTGAAAACTACTTGAAACTATACTGCGATATCTCGAATATCGTGCCAATTGAATCATGAGGCGGCCTGTGTGCAACACATTCAGCTGTAGAATATCATAAACGAGAGATTCAGTTGAGTCTTTCGTGAAAACCAAATTGATTTGCAAATGAGTGCATTTCTCGAAGTCATCTAGTTGATCGTTCACAAGATTTTAAGACTGCTGGACAACCACACCTTCAACTGCGTTTTTTTGAAGCACCATTAATTAGGACACAACAGTCAGCACAAAAAGTAAAATGATTCAGGCCATCTGCTCAGTTTTAAACTGACCCCACCACACACGTTCTCATTAGACCTTACCTGATATTCGACGCTCAATCCTTATTTCCGCGCCTTTTTATCTAGAATTAAGAAAGTTTTACACCTTCTGTTCCACCTTGCTGTATTGATGTGAAAGTTATGAGGGAATTCAGTGTTTCAAAAAGAAAAAGAATCAATTTCATCATAGAAACTTACTGACTGAGTGTTGAAGAATTCGATTAGCTTTGTTTGTTGGCTGGAAGAATAGAAAGCAGAGTTTTAAACAAGGATAGGCTAGATCAGGAGATAAGAAAAACAATATGTTCACTGTGGCAATGCGATAAGATCGTAGTACACTGTGGTACTCTCGTGTTGAGACCAGACACAATCAAATGTCAGGTGTCTCATTTGCCACATAGCCCAATGTTGCCTTCCTTGTGTAGAAAGAATTTAGAGGAAAACAGAATCCAGTTTAGCCCTATCAACCAAAAAACGGGAATATCGGGCGTATTAACAACAGACGTCCACAGGTCCGTCCGTAGGTCAACATTGGTTGACACAAGGACTTCTGGTGCTACCAGTATACTGCAGTGAGGCAAAGGACAACACCCTAGGTAGTTGCCAACAATATCATAAACGAGAGATTCAGTTGAGTCTTTCGTGAAAACCAAATTGATTTGCAAATGAGTGCATTTCTCGAAGTCATCTAGTTGATCGTTCACAAGATTTTAAGACTGCTGGACAACCACACCTTCAACTGCGTTTTTTTGAAGCACCATTAATTAGGACACAACAGTCAGCACAAAAAGTAAAATGATTCAGGCCATCTGCTCAGTTTTAAACTGACCCCACCACACACGTTCTCATTAGACCTTACCTGATATTCGACGCTCAATCCTTATTTCCGCGCCTTTTTATCTAGAATTAAGAAAGTTTTACACCTTCTGTTCCACCTTGCTGTATTGATGTGAAAGTTATGAGGGAATTCAGTGTTTCAAAAAGAAAAAGAATCAATTGCATCATAGAAACTTACTGACTGAGTGTTGAAGAATTCGATTAGCTTTGTTTGTTGGCTGGAAGAATAGAAAGCAGAGTTTTAAACAAGGATAGGCTAGATCAGGAGATAAGAAAAACAATATGTTCACTGTGGCAATGCGATAAGATCGTAGTACACTGTGGTACTCTCGTGTTGAGACCAGACACAATCAAATGTCAGGTGTCTCATTTGCCACATAGCCCAATGTTGCCTTCCTTGTGTAGAAAGAATTTAGAGGAAAACAGAATCCAGTTTAGCCCTATCAACCAAAAAACGGGAATATCGGGCGTATTAACAACAGACGTCCACAGGTCCGTCCGTAGGTCAACATTGGTTGACACAAGGACTTCTGGTGCTACCAGTATACTGCAGTGAGGCAAAGGACAACACCCTAGGTAGTTGCCAACAGAATGAGAAAATTCATCGCCAGGCCCAAGGTACAAGACAGTTTACTCATAAAGACGGATCCTCAGAACCCAACGACATAGGTCGGTTACTCGGAGACGACAGGGTCGATTACGTCTTTAAGAACCAGTTGAAACTGAAGGTATTACATGGGGCTTGGGCGGTCTCACGGAGGCTGGATGGAATTACACTCATATACCATTGCAGCGTGATAAACTTTTCTCGTAATTGTCAGACCCTCGGTCATCAAGGTGATTGTGAGCTATTTTTATGCATTGAAACTCGTAAAAGCCACCAAGTGAGATAAATGCTCACGACGGCGTAATCTTGAACGACACTGGAATGAATGATGAATGATGATAACTCTAGAAGGATTGAGCTGTGACGCATTGTTCAACGAATGGTTACATGTGACTTCCAAAGACCAAGTCAGGTGAATGAAAATAAATGAACAAACTAGTACTTGGTAGACTGTAACACACTTAAGGTGCCTAGCTGCAATGTCACCTGAGAGAAGCACGAGGATTGAAATACTGCCAGATTGCCCAAGCTTATACATGAACAGTCGAGAGGCAGAGGTTCGGTCTGAACCACGGACCTTTCCGTCGGTATGTTCGAGTCTTGACCACTGAGCAATATTGAACTCCAGGTAAAGAAGGGGAACAGTAAATCAGCCGAGCTTATTACTGATTACCAAAATGGTAGCCCCTTGGGGAATGCGCGTCAATGGCGCACACCAAACCAAATGGGGAATAAACCAGCTATTGGAAGGGACTCTTCTTGAACTCTGGGGAAGGGGAGTTATTTCTGCACCGGAATGCAATAAAAAAATCCGGGATTGGAGGTTTTCTTCCGGGTAAACGTGTTCCTTCTTGGGCACTGTCCTCGAGAGAAGGAACACTGGATGGAACTGACGAACCCACAAGCCTCTGGTGGCTGATCAACAGTCATCTGATCAATCACCACTAAACGCAGTCGAGCTACCAGGATTTCGACACACTGACCACAAGCCTCTGTGAAATTAGTGGACAGTCCTGAGAACCAACAATAGATTAGAAAACCAATTTAATCGTTCGCTAAGTTCTCGGAAAGTCTGATACAAAAGTATCTTTTAATGTACAATGGTGTACGTATTTGAAAGACGATGATCGAGTAATCCTGAATTTATAATAAGGCCAACATAAATTCAAGAAACGTCATTGTGTAGCGCAAAATTTTAGTCGAATCCTAGAAAGCCCAGACATACGACGACCCTCATCTTCAGTGAAGCTGATCAAGAAGTCGTGAAGGGACCAGTCTGTTGTACAAGTCAGTTGCTCGGAATATTAGCCGAGTTGAAGGAGGGTTATAACATGGATATCCGAACCGCACGAGTATCTTGAATACGCGGAAAGCATTCGAGGATATTTTTTTTCTGAAACCACCAACTTTCGCGACGAACATGGTGTAGTTTTCTACTTGTCTATTCTTCTCCGGGCCTGCCAAATTCCACGCTAACCAAGAATTTATCAGGTTCCAACCAATAGTTGCACGCTGTATCAAGGTGTACTCAATTTTCCGTTTTTCACCATAAGCAGTATGTTGGGCTTTTCGTTTTAGGCATCCATTCATTCTTGCATTTCGTACGGACTGACTCCTCAAGTCATTTGAAAGCTTCATTTATCGTGTGAATCATTCGTCTTTTTGAGCTTCAAAGTTCCTCTGGTATTGAATGACAGGCCACCGACTCGCAGGTAATACGTTTGTTTACAGTCTTGAAAATCGAATGAATTCATAAAAGGCATGCGCAAACTGCATTTTGGAGTTCAAAACCAACCCATTTTTAGCTGGATCACGACCGTACGGTCCTCAGGTTGTAAATGAAGTGAACGAGTTTCCTGACGCAGCGGATTGACCGACTGCTGTTTTTCAATTCGGATATGCACAGGTCGACCAACTCTTTGAGAAACTCGGGCAACGAATCCCACAATAGAAGTAGCGCTCTATGAACAATGAAGCACACACCATATCGGATAAAAATTAACCATGTCGAGCTTTATGGATGGGATGTGCGGGGGATTCGGGTGACTAGTCTCCTCAAAACAAACACCGTGGACTTCCGTCATTTCCTGAACACGAATCCTGCGATTGTTGCACATAGTTCTACGGTTATATCAGAGGATGGACTATCAGTGATGGATGGGTGTAATATAGTAAGTTTCCATTGGAAGTGACATAGAAAATAATCACAGTAGCAATATCTGGTGAAATGCCTTCGGAATAGCTTGTACTGACTGTTACAGAAAGGTGATTCAGTTAACTCCAGAATTTACCGAACAGAAACTCGACTTGATGAACAAACGAGTTACAGACAGTAGACATGATAGACACAAAAGAGACAACGTGTGACATTGCTAAGGAGCCACCACCATATATTCGTGTCACTTAGAACTGTCACGAACGTGCTTAGTCGCTCCACGCGGAGCTCTGCAGAAATGCAGCCGGTGATCACATCGTCTAAACTGTCAACTCAAAATAATGAGCTGGGAATACTTCATGGCACTTTCCATGTCAATTTTTAGACATTACTGAAGGAAGACAGCATATGCTTTGGGTACATCCTTGAGAGATTTTTATATGCAAAGTATATGCCACCTGAACAGAAGTAGCTCAACTCAACTAATTTTGACTCAACCTATAAAAATGAAAAAAGTCCGTCGATCTAGTCTGGGATTTTCTACTCGGTCCTATTCGGCGGTTTCAGTGAATCGTACGAAAACGGATAGCTGGCTAACATCGCCTAATTCGCTTTCCGATTTTGGTGGAACCAGAATTATGGAAAGCAAAATCTAACATTAGTTATGACTTTTTGGAAAATCTGGAATAAACACAGATATATGTCCGTGAAATCTATTTACAATCGCGAGTTTTCGAGGGATGGAATGACCTGAGTTGAAGCTCCAGAGCGACGGCACATGCAACCAGTATAAGTTGTTTTACTCAGAGTCAACTAACAGTCTTAACCGACCAGCTCCGTGGGGTGTTTTCGAAGCCCTTTTAACCCACCGTTAGAAAGAAAGGAGGTCCCGTGGATAAAATCACACAGACCGCTGGGTGAAAGGTTGAATTCGGATATTTTTTGTCCTGGCTTGCGTAGTGTGCTTCAACAGCTTTACAACAAGAATCGAGCTACGTAGCAAATATGGTCACGTACCCAACTCAGACATGTACCAATTGGTGCTGCAAGGTGCACTTAGTGAGAATGTACGGTAGAAATAAACAGATATGTCATCACTGCAAAGTGATGGGCCTTGGGAAATGGTGAGGCCAGTAGCAAAGGCAAATAGCACTCGACCGATAATATCAGATGACAATCACGTGAATGGAAAAATGACGGTCGAAGCTAGAGTAGCTGACTGTGGAGCTAGACAAAAATACTTTTCTTTGGCACGATAATAACTGCAGCAACGTAACAAACCGCAATTGATTTCACCCCACAATTCGCCGTGTAAACTCGTGTGACGATCAACGTCCATCCCTAGTTACCATTGTTATCACAGCTGGAAAAATTGTCCGTATCAGACAGTCTGCATCTTCCGGCTGTTTTGATCAAATGGATAAGCAGAAGTTAAGGTTCCAATTGAATAGTGTCTATCAAAGTTTGGGTTTCCGTTTTTCTTTTTCACAACGAGACTGGGCAAAAGTCAGATAAAATTCCAGTCCATCCGATCTATTCAATGATTGTTTCATCATACGCGTAACATTGGGAAAAGTTACTCCACATAAAAACAGCACACCACAGACAGTAAAGATTACTTCACAGTTAACGAACGATACAAGGGACAGAAGACTGAAAATTTACCTATCTTCTGACAGACCCGTAATTATTCGGAAAGTAGTCCCCAAGTTTTCCACCATACATTGAGAAGGTACGGGTTGTTCGCTCATCAGCTGACAGATAACGTCCAAACGACCGAGCAACAGGTCACATAGATGGCGTATCATTGTAGGGGGACACGATTCGACAGGGGATTTAGCAGCCGTTTGTGCAAAAAAGTGTAGCACACTTATCAAGCTGGAAACTGCTGAAGCTGGGAAAGACAGATAATGGGAAGCATGTTCTTCGACGCAATCGACAGAAATAAAAACTGAGATTTCGTCATGTAAGTGAAGTCAACATGTGCTGAGAGGCCAAGAAGCACTGTACACAGTTGTTTCTTACTTATTGGGATTCATCATCGGTTCGCATCTCACGAAACTCCCAGGAGAGGGCATTTCGATGAGATCAAGAAGCGTCATTAAAGGGTGGAACGTTTCGCGTAGTCCATTAGCTGTTTACATAAATTCACAACCAAAGTTAGAGCAGGATAACGGAAATGTAATCTGACCGTCTGGCACACAGGCCAGTGAGTTCATTACAGCGAGCATCAGAATCCAGATCAGATTGGATAAAAATACTGAAGCTGCAGGCATGATTCAATGCAGGTCTTAGCCACAAATCCCAAGTTGGGATCGCAGTGCTGAATGGCCGCCGCTTAGGCGATACGTAGGAGACGACTGTCATTCTAGCAGTTTGTGACTGAATTGCTGCCATGATTCGTCGAACTCGTTGCAATCAACCAAGTTTTCAGCGATTGGGTTGGATGCAAGCTTGAAATGGTTAAAGGCTAACTTCATTACAAAGTGCTCCGAAATTCTTGTAGACAACAGTCTCTCAGTGTAGCACACTTATCAAGCTGGAAACTGCTGAAGCTGGGAAAGACAGATAATGGGAAGCATGTTCTTCGACGCAATCGACAGAAATAAAAACTGAGATTTCGTCATGTAAGTGAAGTCAACATGTGCTGAGAGGCCAAGAAGCACTGTACACAGTTGTTTCTTACTTATTGGGATTCATCATCGGTTCGCATCTCACGAAACTCCCAGGAGAGGGCATTTCGATGAGATCAAGAAGCGTCATTAAAGGGTGGAACGTTTCGCGTAGTCCATTAGCTGTTTACATAAATTCACAACCAAAGTTAGAGCAGGATAACGGAAATGTAATCTGACCGTCTGGCACACAGGCCAGTGAGTTCATTACAGCGAGCATCAGAATCCAGATCAGATTGGATAAAAATACTGAAGCTGCAGGCATGATTCAATGCAGGTCTTAGCCACAAATCCCAAGTTGGGATCGCAGTGCTGAATGGCTTATAGACTTATAGGCTTATAGATTGACGTAATCTTGTATTCTTCACAGACCCCATAAAGCTGTCGGCTACAAATGGTCCAAGCGAGCTTCCCATTACCGCGCCACGCGAAGCTTTGTGAAAAAGACCTGCACGTTTTTGCCTAGACGTAAGATACTACTCATAAGACTGCTGAAAAGTGGACCATTATGAACGAGAGACTAGGCTGGATTCACTTGATTCTCCTGTCAAAACCAAATTCGTATGTAAATGAGTATAGTACTTCAGATTTGCACATTTATAGTGCACAACAAAAGCGATGAATAGGAATATTCGGTTCAGTAGTATATCACTTGTCTCCTCAAGTGGGGGAACATGTGCGAAAGAGAAACATATCGCGCAACTGCCTCGAACTTCGTACCATATCAACAAACTCAAACCATGTAGGTGGCTAGTTTATTTCTGATGAGTTGGCTCACCATATGGGCTTCACTTTTCTGTGTGTTTGTCATATTGCATGTCCGTTATCCTGACCTGGACCTGATTCTGAATGTAAGTAAACAGCTGGTGAGATTAACGAAATATCAGGGAGCCTATTTGGTTTCGATGGTCAAAGTTTTCTACTGATACTCGTGTCTTCTGGCTGAATCCTCCAACCGAGATGTAACCACGATGTGCATTCTCTACCGTCGTGGCTAACACTGTTATTTCATAAAGGAAATGTCGCATTTTCACAGTCATCTCTAACAATTTTTCTATTTTCATTTACCGGAGAATTTGCCTTTTCAGTAGTTGGCGGTATCCCATGAGGCTTTTATTTGTCACCGCATCTATCCAAAGGAAGTCTGAAGTACATTTCCCTGGGGCTCGTTTTCTTTCCGTTTCCACGCTAACGTGTTGCCCCCTAAATGTGTTTTTTCGGACTATCCACAATTTTTTCTTGCGTAAACTTAGTAAGGCGTCCAACCCTTCCCATTTTGATTCCTGTAACATCTTGCGACGGCACTGGGGATGCACTCAGACACTTGAATGCCATTTTTACCTACACAAAGATCCAGTTAATTCGCTTTCGGCTTATTAGACAGCTATTGAAATTCCCTTTTCGAATTTGCAGTCCGTCATTGTTAGCAATCCTTATGGTGGTATTATGTCACTAAGACTCCGTGAAAGATATACATCTGTACATCTAATTTTCTAAGTGATCTTATGATTGGGATGGTATTCAGGGTTTCGATATCCGAAAAACGTATATCTAATGCAGTTCAGCTCATTTAATTTTTTGGTCACGAACCACGTAAGTGAATTTAGGTGATGGACGGAATACCACTCAGCTACAAAATTTTATACACTTCAGCGTAGCTAAAGGCACCTTAAGTTGGAGACATATAAATACATGTATGCATTTTTATGGAATAATACTTGATGAAGTCTGATAAATTCACACAGCCAATGGCGGTCTTTCAACAACAAAGGTATCGCATTCACTAAATAGCTCTTGCCACGCTGGACAAACATCCGTATACCATCACTGCAAAGATCGAGGTGTCGCCTCCGAAGAATGGCTCTCGTCCTCTTTGCCTTCTTCTCCACGATGAATGAAGCTGTGGCAGCTGGAACCGATGCAATTCGGTGCACGGTTGGTACCACTGACGTGGATCTATGCATAAGAACATAAGCTCATAAAAACTCTGTCATTCCTTACCTCATTCGTCTGATGACTTCGGAGTCATTCTTCAGATCGCGGCCTTTAGGTAGCACTCGCATGGTTTTGGTCCCACTAAGTGCGTTTAGTTTCGCCTGCAGGCCGCATTTTCAGCTTGCGCATAACTACTGTTTACAGGCAAGTACTTCTCTGTGTCCCAGAAAAACGGTTCACTGAAAACTAGTCAGCAGCGGAAACTGAGAAAACTCATTACGTTGCCTTGTTGTCCATTATTACCTCTTCTATGAGAGTTCCCGCTAGTTGGACAATTCATGTCCTCGGAAGTCTTGCCCCAAAGTCAAATCGCCGACCTTCAAAGTGATAATCGCCGTCATTTGGCCGTAACACATGCTCATAAAACTGCCGCAAAATCTTGAACATCTCACATCTAGTTTCACTCTTCTTGGGACTCATCAGGTAGACACAGTCTCCGAGTTTCCGTTAGCTTCATGTTCTGCGCGAACCTAAATTATAATCAGTTAGCGGAATAATCATTTAAACAGTAATTTGGACTCAACTGAATCCCAACTGAATGTTTCTGTCATGATATTCACCTTCAACTGACCTCAACTATTCTTGGAACACTACTTATACAGTTTCTGAAAACTCGCAGGTAATACACCACCGGCCTGCCTCCTTTTGAGGCTCATCAGATGGTAAGGTCATACTCGTGGACGTGCAGTCACTGAACACGCCACTTACAATCCAGGGAGAGGTACTGGAAGTTGTGGAGCGTTTTACGTATCTTGGAAGTTGTATTAGTTCTGACTGCAGTGTGACAGATGAGGTGAATGCACGAATCTGCAAGGCTGGGGCCGCGTTGTTAATTTGAGACACCTATGGCGTCAGAATGGTTTATCCCTGAATCTGAAGGGACGTGTGTATCAAGCTACAGTACGGGCTGTTTTGTTGTATGGCTGTGAGACTCGGCCTATTCGAATAGCGGAACTGAGACATTTTCAGCTGTTCGACAATCGTATGGGTTGATGTCGGTGAATTCGTAACGAGGCGATTAGAAAGCCAGTGCTTGGTTGTGTAACGGGTCCTCCATTGAAGAATGTGTGCAGCACCAAAAGCTGCGTTGGTTGGGACGTGCGTTACGTATGCCGAATCATGGTTTGCCGAAGACAGCACTGTTTTCCATGCCCTATTCGGAGTAGCGTAAACAGAGAGGTGGCCAACCCATGACTTGGCAGAGGAGTATGAAGGAGATCACGAAACGCTTGGGTGCTGTCGGCGCTACTCGCTTTCCAGGATGGAGACCGCGTGATCCCCACTGTGCCTGGTTGGAGACACTACAAGATATGGCTGCCAACCGACGTCAGTGGCGTTCTTGCTGTCAGTTTCTATCCAGATCGCCTGAGTGAATGTCTAGAGGTATAGGAACCTCGGAATGATTGTGGTAAGCTAGCACTTAGTCTTTTCCCGAACCACCTTTATTCTTTTCTTTGCAATAAGGCTTTCGAATAAATCATGGCTGTATGGCAGTGAAGCATCGGTGTTGAACACTGATGTCACGCTGTCGATGATGATCAGGGTGATGATGATGATGTTCAGATGGGCGTAGATTACGAGCTTCCACAGAATCGATGCACAGATTTATACAACAGATTGTTTACGTGAAAAAGCTGCTCCAAAAACTTACATGCTAATTCCCTGTGGTCTTTTCCGGTTGAAGTGGTTTTATCCAACAAGAACTGAAACAAACGAGCCATCACAAGTGGGTTTCTGAGAGCAGCTCGCTGAAGGAGGCTCAGTGCCAAACAGCTCCCTGGAGAAGGCTGATTAAAATTAGCTGCAAAGGATGGGGATGGGTAAAAATGTATTTTTTAGGAGTGCACGGCATTTTTAAAGAGTCGTTGCTCAGACTCGTCCGAGGTTTCACTCCGTTCAAGAGTCCATCAAAAAGGAATTCAAAATTGCTGAAAAATGCGGTTCCTTACCAATACAAGTATATGTGGAAAGTAGGAAGAGTTATCACCAACTACCAGATGTCTTGTCAGTACACTTCGTCAGCTTGTGACCGTTTCAGCTCTTCACGATGAAGAGTGGCGCATGTTTCCCGACAGAATTGCTGTATTGAAACATTACCTTCTAACGTTTTCGGGCTACCTTCAAATCAGAACAGTTACTATTCGATGCCCCAGGACTGCTTTCCGAGAAAACCCGAAATGCCATCATACTTGAAAGTATCATGCAGCCGATAGCTGGACTACGCGGATATGTTGCGTGACTTCGGCTTCAACTGCATGGGGATAAACCGGCTCCTGGGATCCATTAAATCATGACAGCAAGCTGCCGAGTTCAACTGTCCTTTTCAGTATTTTATATTCTAAACATTCTGAACGAACTATGGCAAACTGGAATTGTGCATGCAGATCTCTCAGTAAGATTGCCCGCCTGTCATTGGTGAAATCTTCGAGCAACTTCCAATTTTCTTTTAGGGTTTTGAATTCGTCATTGAGGGTTGATCTCCTGTGGTCTCCGTTAGGAACGTTTTACATAAACTATTTTCCCCTGGGCACTTGAGTCCTCGTTGCTCTATGGTACATTAGTTTTGCACGGCGCACCGAACCGGGCATACTATGTTCCGATAGCATAAAAAAACCTTGTTTTTCAAAAATAGACAAACGATTCAGGTAAGGTCCTCTCAGTCCTGAGCTGATGAATTCCGCATTACACTCAACCACATATTTTAGCTCAACCTGTGTTAACTGAGTGTCATTCCGCCGGACACAAAAGGCGAACTAAAGTAAAAAACAGAAATGAAGCCGTAAATCACCCGTACGGTGGTTACTTCGTTTCTGCTTGAGTGTTCCCTCATTGACGTTCGACAAGTTCGACCATCACGGTTTGGTGCTATGACGGGGCGATGCACATTGTGGAAAGTTTGGACCACAGAAAGTATTTCCTTCTGCCTAGCACGTTTGACTTTGTTAGCGAATTGAATCACCAAACTCACAAAGAAGGAGAAACTGTTACTTCAAAGTAACCTAACACTGCTTTTGTGCACCCCCAATGCCTCTACCAACAAACTGTTCCCGTGAAGAACAGGTTATCCGTACAAGGCGATGCGAATATTGGATGCTCAGTATATAAGAGTAACTGTTGATTTCTTCGATCAACGGCCAAATCAGATTCCGATCAGTATATCCTTCGTTCGGGTTTATATAAGGCAACGCCCCCCCTTTTTTGCATAGCCTATTGTGCTTAATCCACAGTTAATACAATGAGACATCGGCACAGCTCAGTAACTATCAATTGAAACACGAAAAGTAGGAGGTATAAATATTTCATAAGAGTGTCACCCAGATATGATGGTTTTCAGTTATACGTGAGCTGACCATAGTGCGGCTCTGGTTCCAATGAGCAATGGCCAAAGCAAGTCAAATTTACTCTCTTCAGTCCCTTCTGTCTCAAACAGCAGGGCCACTATGTGAACCATGTAGGTGGACAAAATCCGTATGAAAATCGCAGAACATTTTATCAATCCTTAGGCGTCGGTTTTGTTCGTTCATCATTTAATCTACGGTCGCTCAGTTCGCGCGCTAAGCACTTCTGAAGCTTGCGTGCTCAGTAAATATGTGGCCTTCTAAGCACGTTGAAACTTTTGTTCGTTCATCATTTAATCTACGGTCATTCAGTTCGCGCGCTAAGCACTTCTGAAGAGTACTATTTTGCCTCACGAAGCTTGCGTGCTCAGTGAATATGTGGCCTTCTAAGCACGTTGAAATTCCATATCGGTACAACTGCCAGTTGTCTCGACATTTTTGCCATGATCCTATTTGTCTGTACCACAGCCGAGTGCATCGACCAGTTTTAATAGACTGGATCAATCAAGCGTATCGAAGACAGCTATGGACGATCGCAACTAGCCAGTTACCTAGCCGCGCCACACTCAATTCACGGAACGGGGCCTTGGCTGCTCGAAAAAAGGTGGAATCCACCTACGCATAGACGGATTCAAAGGGATTTGGTAAATAGTTCAACGATGTAGGTTGAAAACAGATTCCATAACAGGAAACTTGATTCTCAAGTCACTAGAAGCTAGTATTCAAAAACGAACTCACAGACTGCTGTGAAAAACTGTAATGCGCCAACGAAAATGCCACACATACACATGCATCCCATGTTAATGCCTACCACTGAGACAGACCACTGGTAATGTGCACAGGTATAGAGGCTGTGAGCCAGAGAAAAAAGAATGAGTAGTTCGAGCAAATGTATATTTGCCGGCGAAATGACTTGTGAACTACCTCTGCCACTGAGACAGACCACTGGTAATGTGCACAGATATAGAGGCTGTGAGCCAGGGAAAAAAAGAATGAGCAGTTTGAGCAAATGTATATTTGCAGGGGAAATGACTTGTGAACTACCTCTGCAAGAGTGAAATAGGATAGAAAATAAATGTAGACTTTAGCCAGCAGATCAGTGATCATTTTGAGGAAGATAACAGAAACACAAGATGAGGCCCACCAGTCATCAGTTCAGTTGCAGTGAAAGAGAGAGCGCCTCCGAGCGCCCAGATGCTCACTGAACAACAGGAACTATACCATTACAAGCTTTCCAACAGGAAAGTAAAAACTTCATTCGTGTAGAGCTTTTGGAAAGTGAACACCCTGAAGCATCCTCTTGAACTTTCAAGGAGATTGTCAAAATATTAAACACTAATGAATAAACACTGCAAATTGGTCCAGTAATTTCAATATCAACCTTCCATCAGATTCACGAAGGGTGCTGTGACACATGGCGAGACGCTACTCGCATGTTTCATCAGTAGTATACACCGCTGCACTGGTATCAACAACGGTGAATTTCACCCTGGAACTTCTCTAAGCTTGGATATCACTCTGAAGCTTAAACTGAGAAGCATACCAAATAACTAGGTGCGTAGAATTGTTTTCCCTGATATTTGTTACTTTTGCATCATTCTGAACGCTCCAGTGCAATTTCCGTTCATCGACAGTGATGATCGAAATTCAATCACAAAATTTGACGGTTCAAATGAATAACAGTGAGGCAAACTCCACTTGCTAACAAGATTCGAGATAATGGTCCTTCTGTTGGAAAACCTCCCAGAAGGCACATTTCCATTATTAGGCATATAATGGTCTACTGTAATTTTCTATGCCAAATAAGGAAGCATGCGCTATTTACCTAAGAGAACTTACCTTCTCGAGAAATACACTCATTTGCAAATCAATTTGGTTTTCACAGGAAAACCCGTCTTAATGAACAGGCCTAACGCAACGAGTTCAATTCAAGCTCTTGCAGATGCAGTCAACGGGAATTATTTTCCACCCATACATAGGTTCAAACCATTCACTATCCTCTTCACAGCTCACAACCTGTTCGCATTCATATTTCTAATTGTCTTTTTCGGTGGCACGCATTAGCGTGTGATATGTGTGGCAGTTGTGGCGTTTCTATATAACAAAGCACGACCAGTCTCCTCACTGTCATCTGCAGGTAGGCGGACCTCACTTTCTTGCGAACAACCACGGTATGTAAAAGTGAATAGTGATAGTACAGCCACGCTCCATGAGTCGAGTATGACGGGAGATGGTTGGTGGGAAACTGGAGATGGTCTAGCACTGTGTTTTATGCACCTCTGAGACCGAGGATATAATGATGTCAGTTGGTAAATGATCAGGTAGCTGTTGACCTGTTCGCCGAGCTTGAGAATGGATTTGCAAACGTTTCGTCACCATTCGAGGAAACATCGCCAGTGCGCTGTCGGGTGAGTCTCTCAGCGGCTGCGTTTATATAGTTTACAAAGGGCAGCTTTTTACGCTGTAACCTGATTGGTCATACAAACCACAACGCAACACAGATTATGATCAGACCAACCAGAATACGAGTGCGATGATTGTCAAAGGCCAATCAGGTTACAGCTCAATACCTTTATAAAATATACAAACGCAAGCACGAAGAGAGGGACTATCCACCCAACAGCGCAATTAAGATGTCTCCTCGAATGGTGACGAAACGTTTGCGAACCAATTGCCAAGCTCGGAGAACAGGTCAACAGCCACCTGATCACTTACCGAGTTACCAATATTCCAACGCATTACCAATATTGATGTTATCCAATTCACTGCGTTTTTGGTAGAAGTAAACGGGATCGAGATAGTAAGTATTAGGGAAGTCATCGTCTTTCATTTGTACTACCATACATAATGTAATTCGCCGTCAACCTAACAAGTTCTGGCTCACTCCGAGTGCTGTCAATTAAATCTAAGATAGTAAAGCCCGAAGTAGGCATAAATCAACCCAGTGGCAACGGACAAGTTACAAGTCTGCAGTGACAGCGATCGGGCCTGGATAGAACATGTGACATTTCAATTGCTACTGTCGTATGGGTATTCGATAAAAAGTAGGCCTTGTCTGGTATGAACAAGTCACGTGGATTCCAACAACAGCTGTAGCGGCAAGCAATGCAACAAGCAGAATTGGGATGCGACAGATATCAAGATAAAAAACTGCCGTTGACTCTAATAAAATTCGCCTATGTCTGACCAGTCTAAAAGCGATCGCTTCCCTACTGATAGTGGTCAGCCCCTTGACACACGACTTAATGTAAGCAATCATCTACCAGAATTCAAATTAGGGCTGAGTCAGTTTTGAAGTATTAGTACTGCACTTATGAAGACCCGCACAAGCACACACAGTGCTGCATTTGTCTACTGGTTGACATCCTATGATGGCTCTAAATTCACGGTAAAAGATATTGAACATACCTTCAATTTGTCCAAACAAGATCGAATTCAACAAATCCAGGGTGGGTGAGGAAGCAGATTGATAAAGATTCGACACTATTGCTTCCAGTTCTTCTCTAAAAGGAAAAACGTGCGTAGCAAGTAGCGAACATTGATTTAAAGGTTGAAGACCTGATATTGTGAAACATACCGCATCGTATCCAAGTTGCTTGCCGGTAACATCTGTGGATATCTGTGATCTAGCCGACGTACCACCAATCCGAAAAGCTCGATCAGGTGATTGATTTCAGCGGCTGTTGTGATGTCCTGGGCTGAGTCATAGCGAGATAATCGAGTTGACAAGCCGAAAATGGTTATTACTAGTTCGTAGGACACCTTCGACTCTACCAACTCGGATTCAGATGCATCCGCTATGAGTGCCGCATGGAAGGTAGTCAACAAGTGCAAGGTCCCCTGGTATATCTGTCTCCCAAACATGGACAGCTGTCCTGAAAGGATGCAAAAACGTTGCAGAACGGCACAGTGTATCGTAGTAGCCTGTCTCGCAGTTTGCGATTTATCTGAGGAAAGCGATAAAACCCAAACACAGGAAGACTTCATATCATCACGTAGTTTATCTTAACAGAAAATACACGGATCGAAGCACAATACAGGCCCCAGGTGCTATAGTACATCGTACTTCGCTGTAGAGTTGACCGCAAAAGGAGTTGGCATATAGTAGCCTGATCTGAATCATCGTTACACTGAAGATTACTCCATCTTCCTCTTATGGTAACCGATTGATTTTGCGCATCCCAATAAATCGAAAAAACAGAGTATTCAGTAAGCAACGCTGACAAGCCATCGGTACATCGTTATTTGATACAGTCGTCCGAAGCCCACTCGCACGACTGCATGAGAAAATTCTAATGAAAGTGTGGTGGCAGGAGCGGGGGGTTATCAACGAATGCTTCAACCTGAGGTTTCTCTTCGAAGCGAAACGGATTCCAAACCAAAACATGAGAAGCTGTTGCACAGTCGTTCGGAATATTCAGCAGTGCACAGCTGAGACACCTTCGAGGGCACTTGAACCCGCAAACTTCCTATTGATGGGTAGTGCGAGAAGTTCGAAGGTAGAATGTGCTGCAATTCACCCTTCAATAGTGGGGCACGCCCCACTGAAGGCTTCCCAGAGAAAAGATGAATGGTAAAATATCCTACCTAATGGCAAGCGAATCACAGTGATGATTAGCTAAAGGACAGGGTGTCCATAATCTTATATGGATAGCTACTTGTTTGAATAAACTCGGGATTCGTGAGATGCACACTGTTAAAGATTTTAACAGAGTTGAAAGTTTTGTGAAGGCATTTTAACTTTACAATGTAGAATAACTTGATGTTCAATATGCTGCTTAAAAATCCTCTCGCATAGAACCATACGTAGTCTGTTCAGAGAAGTAAAACCTCATAGGTCGCATGGGGTATCCATCCGAGTGGCCATCAGTGGAGAAGCCAGTCAACACTGGATCACGTGATATGAATCGCGTAATTGAAGGACGAGCGGCCGTATATCATGTACAAGCTTCTCGAAATACTGACCAGTCAATTGTGCCGGAATGATACAGCATTCCATGACTAGCAAGACGATTGCGTGTTCGAATCTTTCTAGTCATATGTGAGATTCGTCCTGTCGATGAACCTTAGCTATAATAAAACAGCTGCACAGTACTCTGTAATTTTCCCCATAGACTGGAATCGATCAGCAGACAACGTCCAGATTTTAAACAGGAGAAACTCCAAAGGATCCTCAAAATACCTGGAATATTTCTGGAGAAGAGAAAAGGCACCGGCTATATTACTGACAACCGATTCTAACACGTGATCCATATCCGTTTGTGCTTCCATAAAAATAACGTCGAAAGACCGAACAGCAAACCGGACTGATCGAGATTTTCGGTCATCTAATAGGTCTAAATTCGACCGGTTTGAATTTACGCAACTATGTGAATCGAAATAATAATTTTTGATGTATTGACAACATAGACCCACCTGAGGTTTGAGCTGAGTCGGCACAGGTGTCCAACAAACGGCATGCCAAGGCGAAAAACGGATGCCAAGGCCCAAGCTGAAAATAGTGAAAGCCGCAAAATGTTCGTGAGCCAGGAATGAGACAGTCTGTGAGAAACAACAGAACTTTCAAACTGCTTTTGTGTTCTTGTTTTCCTGCAATAACTAGCCCTAAAACTGCGTGCGCCCATTGAAGCATGTTCAGTCAAACAAAGAGCTTCATAAATTCGATGGATTTAGAGAACAGACGCAATTTTCCCTCCCGTTGACTTCCAGATTTCTTACTAAGAATGCACGTTACTCTAAACAGGAGGCAGAATGATGAAGAATTACATCTGACTGCAGCAAAGTGAAGCAAGGAGAGTTAAAATCGTCTCAAACTCTGAGCCTACAACCGGTTCTTGTTCAGAAGATCGTCAGCTGTTGCGGAGCACTAAGTTCACAAGTGAATTCATCCCACTATGTCGCCAAAGCACGTGAGCATCGATTTAATCAATAGAAGCTGATACAAGGATGTGGATTCTTACGAAACACCTCACTACCCACGAACCAGCACGTGTGAAGGAGTTTCGAGTTTGAAATTTACCGGTGCCAAGTGAGACAAGGGAGAATCCCACGCGTGTGAGTGAAGCTTCATCTACCCCCACGTGCCAAACTTGACTGATCTGGTGCGCATCCAAATTGTGAGTTAAAATACACTCTTCGTTTGGAAAACTATGCGACGGATCTGGAACAGTTGGTTCTCGTTCCGAAGTCACACCCATTTTTTTGAAGTGATGGTAAGATCATGTAAGAATGAAGTGATGCTTTGGCAGAACCTGGTAAAGACAACTTCGGCTTCACGTAACCAAAGCATTTTCAGGATGTTACATCTATCCTACAGACCACAAAAGTTTACAATATCCCGTCAGTAGTACTCATCTTTACCTAGATTTGGAAATGGCGCGAACTAGCTGAAGCAAGTTTACGGCTTGATTGATGCCAATCATAGTGCTGCTGGTAATTGTAACTTGATTCCTAGGGCTTCTTATTGGGCCTTAGACTTGTTTTTTTTGCGACAGACGCGATTACTCACCATTTCAATAATCTTCCATGACACATAAAAGGTCTTCGTCCAACATATCTGGTTCATGTTCTAATTCTATATCCACTTCAAAAAATATCTGGGTCAAAAGTCTAAGAGTCTCGATCTGGAGCCGCGTAACAAAAAGACAAACATCCACGAACCGTTTGTCGGGACGTTATTGCAACTATCTGCTACATGTTCGAACAAATGTGGTCGGTCAGAAGGCTTTAAATTACGTCAATGATGGATATATTCTTTCCCTCCCATTTTCGCCCACGTGATGTTCTTGCTACTGACTTTCAACACAGAATTGCATTGATTCAAATGTTTTTTTTCATCAAACGATAATGCTACTCGTCCATACCGATGCACTGTTCTGTTCTTGGCAATTTGAAAAATCCCTCTATCAGGAAGGTCAGATTCCTGAAAGCGACCACTGAATGCCCGAAATCTACTGCGACTTTCAGCTCCGCTAGATGCTGACCAGACAGACGACGCCCTCGCAATATGCAGCTTCGTATCGAAGCCAGACCGCGTGCTCAGACTTGAACTAAGTTCAGACAGTGTCCCTCCAATAAATAACCTAAGGTCGTTGTATTTCCGCACTCACGCTTGTGCGGAATGTAGCTGTTGTGTTCCCTTCTGCGAGTCTTATTTTCCGGCACTAGGCACTAGAGCGGGTCAGCAGTCAGATACAAAAAATTGGCGAATCAGCAGATATAACACAGTTACACCTATGAATTTGTTAAAATGGCTGACTTATGCGTCTGTGTCCTTCCCTTCTGTGATCTCAAACGATTACGCTGGAAAACGATCTTGCCCATCTACGATACCCGCGTACCGGAGTACACTGATCCGGACCAACAGATACGAGCAAACGGGCATGTGCGAATACCAGTAAAATGTTAAAACCGGTAAACCTTCATGATCATTTGGTTTCTCATGACATACGTTAACCAGAACCACAACAAAAATCGTGGCAAGAAAGCTCAAGGCGCCGCTTTCATGATCTTTGCGAAACGACAATTCCAACTCGGTATGATGTTACATCATGGCACAGTTCGCGCAAGCTTATTAATGCTGAATAGTAAGAACACCGTTCTGGCGAGCAGCCACATAACATGTATTGATTACGGGTATTCTAACGCCGAAAATCAAGGCTAACTATGTCAATGCATGAGTCGAAAACGTGTAAGAAGTTATGTTCATGGCTGGTTCTCTCGTATTATGACTCCTGTATTTGCGTTCTTTGTGTTTACATGTTCTGTGTCAAGTCAAGCACAAGGAATTCGATTTTGGGAGGTCATTATTGGTGAAACGTACAGGGCCGATCAACATATTTTCAGCCGTCAATAAACTGCCAAGGACGAATTTCACTCTTGTAAGTAGCTTCCATTCCCACTGTGCTATCGTTGCTAAACACTTAACCCTAAACGGTTACCGATGCTCAAGGGGAGATGCAAAGCTGTTATGAAGGACGAAATAATGTGAGTTCACAGTTGACGCCCTGATCAGGAAACATTATCAGAATCATCAGGAGTAAGTCATTGAGAAACAAAATAAATTCTGCCAAAGATAAGCCCACAAAAAATCATGCAGTAATCTTAAAAGTGAAGCGGGGCGAATACAGAATACAGGCAACAGCTGAGCACTAAGAACAAAAAAGCTGTGAATAAAACTGATAAGTTTTTTAACTGGTTAACACGGTGTTACACAAGCTGCATTACCCTGCACAGAGAGGAATCAACGCTGTTGGGTAAGTATCATCATTCAGATATCCAATTATTTCGTCGAACACACTTGGTGACCACTCTCTAGCAAGTTCGCTGTCATAGCGCTTCTGCGTTTCCCAGCCTTGGTTCCCTAGAATTATTTGGGAAGGTGTGTGCCCATCCGTTTTCCAAAGTGCCTCATGGTACGTACCTTGCTATGAAGCTATGGTCATATGGCAAACTTATTTGGTTGCATCGGAACACGCACAATTTCTTTGGAAACAAAAAGTGGCAATGTCACACACCCGTATAAGTGGTGCATCAAATGATCTTCCACAAAGAGCGAGATTCGACTGATAATCACATCACATGTCCCTTTTGGTTTCGTATACTAACCTTCTAGTTTAGATGGGCATCTTCATAAACGAGAGACTCAGCTGAGTATCCCGTAAAAACTAAATCGATATGCAAATGAGAGTATTTGTTGAGATAGATGGGTAGCTGGTTTGAGTCCATTAGAAGACCGTGCTTCATGTTCTACTATCACCTGTTTCAATTGGATACAGTTCACGAGTATTTGCTTTCTTCCGTATGGGCGCTAAATCTTTATAGAGCATCCACTGTCCATTCCGCATTGACTTCTGTCTGTACCACCGAAATCGAGGCAGGCCGCACTGCTGACCTATTCCATTTCGACGTTAAACTCCAGCTTTTTAGAGATGGTTCTGGCTAACTGCTAAGCCCGTTGTAGTTATCCGTGATTAACCTATATGAAAGGTTGAGCCCTAAACGGTTCATGGGGGCATCTTCCAATATTGTATCAAGAGGACTCGCCACCGTCTAATAATCAACAGGACGTCCAATTAAACGATGTGCGTTCGATATACAAATTATAAGGAGTGTGAACACATAACTTAAACGGAATACAAGAGAAGTGTTATTTACTGTGGGGCAGCTAATTATGATGTCAAGTTGAGACACACGTAAGCCAGGAAGTATCGAAATAATCTCAGAAAGCCAAGACAGGAAACCCAGAAAGTGCAAGAACAAAACACACTCTAGAAGGCACTCACCAGGTAGACTTCGCAGTAACCTTCAAAATGACGTTTATCTCCACACAAGAATGTTGAGTCAACATCTCTGAAGCCTTTGCTACTCGTCGTTTTAACCCCCGATTAGGTAGAAGGAAGAGATTCGTGTCAGACACTGCGTTAACATGGGAAAAAACTATAAGTTTACCAGTTTTGTTGTATTTACAGAGTTCGCTTATTCGTTGATTTTCATCATCACGCTGCTTTCCACTTGCAATACTAATAACAATTACATTATTGGCACCAAGAATTAAAGATCTAGTTTCCACCTCGTGAGATGGGTACCATTTTTTGCATCTGATTGTGTCAAAAACGACTGGCGGTTAGTCCCATGCACAACTTCCAGTTATGTCTTGGTCGCAAGGTTACCGTATTCAATCATTTCGGCCGTTTACCAACATTGGTAAGTCGTGTTAATCATATATTAACTTCCAGAAGTTCCTTGGCCTCTTTTGCACGTGGCCTTTGAAGATTTGTGCCAACACGTCAATAGTCTGTCATCGCAATAATGACCAGGGATTGAAATATGTATGGGCTCAATATACTTGATAGGTCAATTTTCATCCTTTGGAGAATAACACCCAATGAGAACAAAACGACGAGAGAATTCTGTGGGCACAGAATTCTTCTCAATTGCAAACACTCCGAAACTACAGAAAGTATACTTCCAGGTTCTCAACATGGTTGATTTACTCTACAGAGGGAGACAACTCAGTTAGGATGTTCCACGCCAGTAACCCAGTTCAATCGGTTGACTACAATAACAAAGAATTTATGTCATTAGAATAGCCCATGCACCAACCAGTCAGACCACTGAAGACTTCTTAACTGGACGCTGACTTGACTTAACCGATAATCCACTTTGAATATGCACACATATGAAACATATCACGGGTAAGATACTAACTGAAGGTGTAGTTCCGAAAGTATGGTGAAGCAACACACAGTAGGCCATTATCTCCTGAACTGCACAAACGACGTCGTCGTTTGTCTGGTTTAACTCGTAACTGTGTGAAAAGAAACCACTAGCTTCTAACGAAGGGGCTAACGATTATCATACCATTTCGTCACGTGTGAACCACAAACAGCTGGAGCATTCAATTCGAACGAAGCGAGATTTTTTGTTGCATCCGCATGGACACTGACAAAGAAATCCCAGTCCTCCAGTGTCACAAGCATGCGACAGTACTCTGTACCAGACCATTCCTCTAATAATCGCAATAATGGTGAAGGGAGTGGAAGGTGAAATCGGTTCAGGAAATCCCTGTTGATTAACAGTCCATTTCGGCAAAGTTTAAAGGTAACAAATGCTTTCCATGGTAAATTATGTCCTTATTTGCTTGAATCAACACACTACTACTCTTTGATAGTGTTATGAGTAGTGTGCTCTATCAAGAAAATACACTTGACATCTCCAACACCTAGAACAGAAGATGGCCGCTGTACGGTACATCCAGTTAACATCAAAGCAATTCGCGATTACCCTCTCCATTTGTTTACATGCGGACCGGCATAATCCGAATTCCGCGGATACTTGAACGTGTAACGCATTGGGGCGCAACAAACAACAAACAACACTTTTGACAAGTCAACACATGAAAGACAATGTAACTTGTTGATAATCGAGACACGTGCCAGTGGTAAAATCCCTTTGCCGATAGCGATGTGCTCTCAAAAAGAGAGTGAATGGGGGCGTTTTGCTAATAAAATTACCCCGTTCAGAGATGTGTTGTCTGATCAGCGCGATTGCGGATGTAGAATCTTTTACAAACGAACGAGAGGAGAGGATCCACTGAGCTTCTCAGGCATGATGTATTTCTACGATTCACTTATGGCAAAGTGGTGTTGTAGGACTCAATTAACCTATTTGTACGACAAACTTCATTTTCTTGGCCAAACGCACTAGGAAAAATATTGTTTATCTGTCAAACCAAACAGCAGCTCCGAAACAGAAAAATGCACTAGTGGTTGACAGTTCTGACAAGTTGTCCGAAATAGTAGCATTAACTCAGACAAGATNAGATACGGTGCGTGATACACAAATAAGCCATCAACGCTCCACCAAAAACAAAACCATTGTGTCAACGATGCTGTGCAATCAAATGCTATTAGCGGAAGATGTGTACCACGTTCCAGTCACATGATCAAAGCGACAACCTTCGATGCGCTCTCATTTGATTCGATGTATGATCGTTCCCTGATACCTAAAGACAGTGACCATTGAAAGCGAACCAGCGTGTCAGATGAAAAACAGTGATAACCGCTGCCGTCTCCACATTGGCAGAATTGACGAACGAAGACCAACTTTTCACCAGTAGTACAATGACTCGAGAACCCGATCGGATGTAAGAAATTAAGCGTGGCTCTGTTCGAGAGGTTTAGGTGGAAACTTAGTGATGAGATTGTCCCATGGAAACCTCTCTAGGGTGAACAAAACTGCAGTATTGCAAAAGTGTTTGTGCTTGCTATGGTTGAGGGGCCTATTTTTGCAGCACTTCTGGAAACGATTGTGTAAGGCCGTTGCAGATCGCATATAATGGGAAAATGATATCAGGAATTCACACGCGCCGTCAGTGGTTAACGTGTAAGTCTGTGTATTCCGAATCGACGAAGGGTTTCCAGCAACCTTATGAGTAGTGCATTACAAATATATACACGAGTCAATATCATTTTATGTGGTTCAGTCAATCTCTTACCGCCCGACTGCAGCTTTCCATTTTCCACTAGGATTTCCACGTCATGGCAATGAAGCACCAATGTTCTCATCTAGTGTTGCTGATGATAATGAGGGTTTCCATGTTATTTTTACCTATTACTTTAAAGTTCTACAAAGTTACTTCCTCCTATTGCTGATAAGCTACTGACCTGATCGGTCGCGATGTTGAGTCTCTGATACTCTAATTCCATTCAGATCAGCTGACTAGCTGATATCATCAAACGTACTTAACCTCAAATCGCACTACTGGCGATTTCAAACTACGTCTTTGTTTCGTCCATCTCAGAATTAGATAATGCATGACTCCATTACGGTTGCATGTTGTTTCGTCTTCATGATAGCTGACACGGCACTCCAGTACAAAATCTGCACTATTTTCGACTTTGACCACAACAACCTGATAAGAGACATACTAAAAAAATACTCGTCTTTTTATCCCGTTCTCTGTACAAAGCATGGGTGAATGCGTGGTTAAATAGATCCCAAAAGACGGCAATAAGGAGAGTAAAGCGAGTCGACACGTCGTCCTATCATTACAATTTTGATGATGATTACAACGTTCTTTCTAATTTGAAACCATCTAGTCTTGCGTTACAACCTGAGAAGGTATGCGTCAACCCGGCTGAATATCATTAGTCAATGAGTTAATAACCCGTTCTGGTGTGAAAAATGTGCACACCAAGTGATTCATTGATCGCAGTGTGATAAAATGCCCAACGTCTACGCTGCTGAACGGCTCACGCACTTGTATTAGGACCGAGCCGTTGGTAAACCTAAATATCCAGTAACAGTTTCTCGGCGAAAGAATGATGTGGATGGTGACGATACATCCGATATGGAACAAAAAGAAATTCGTTTATGTTGAAGTCGTTTGCTGATGATCTGATGATGCCTTCAACGTTAATGAACTATTGATATCAGTAAAAGCGCAATGTCAGCTGATAACGCTTGTTCACAGTGAAGAATTAGACCTTGTGTTCACAGTAACACTAAGAATAAATATCATATTTGCTCACATAGGTAGTGGGAGTTCGAAGACTGAAGATTTCCAGAATTATGCGACTTTTGACACAGATAAATTGCATACAGTTCGGTCATGTTGGTATGGAAAATGGCTACAGATGATAAGATTACGACTTGGGGCCAATATTCTCGATATTGTAAGGTGATGAAGCTGGGAAGGGCGCGCACCGTATTCTCCAGAGGTTGCTGACAGAATTCCAAGAAACGTAGGTCGGCTATCGTTTTTTCCAGAACTATAGTTACAAATTCGCTCAGGTGTGGTACTTTGCTAATATTATTACGATTCTGAGACCTATGAAGAGTTGCTGTTAGTAATATGCCTCGGGATGTCATCCAAAACCATTTATCGGGCTACGTGAAAAAACTGACTGCATACTGTTCGGAAACGGAAGTATACGGAATCTACTCTGTGGTTGACAGTAAATGAAATCCCACGTTAATTGACCTACATTGCAGATTATTCATGTAGACTTAGAGTAGGTTGATTCATTTTTGTTAGTTTATAAGTCCAAACGCAGTATACATTTTCATGCATTTGGGAAATCTCTACAACAGATATCTAATAGACAGTGTGAAACTTATGAATAGCAAATGGGTTATTGTTTCTGACGAAAAATGGTCGTAAACGTTCAAATAAATTGGAACCCAGAACGGGAAGTATGGTTCTTGCCAGCCCTATCACAGATTTTTCGGAATGAGTATTTTTGTGGCCGGTGCCCCACCACGGAGTGTGCTGGCATAACTGCGGCCGATAAAGTGCGTTCAAATGAACATGCGGCGTGCGAGTGAGTGGTTAAATGAGTAAGTGCCTCAGTACTGAGACATCCTTTGAGAATGGTACGAAACGAAGAGTGGAACATCACTAGCCCTACCTGTCTACTGCAAGTCAGTTGTCCCAGATGAATATGTTTTAAACTTTACTTGACGAGCTGCGCATACAATTTGGCGGCGCTGTAGTCTCAAAAAGCAAGCTAGACAATTACGTCAAAACGCTGTACTGTTGACCATCCACTAAGTTGGTTTTGACTAGTTTCCAAGATCGTGTTAACTTTTGGAATCCAAGACAACGTGAACTATTCCATCCAGGGACCAGGTGGCATTGAAGCACGTGGTTGGTCAGATCTACTTAGTATATTCGACTTCACTGCTAGATGACATCATTTCTACGCTTTTTAAAGCTGTAGCTGAATGGCATGGCGAGAAACGCCATGCCAACCTCGGGTGGAGCGATCAACAGAACCAAACGACAGACCGTATCCAATGTATCTGATGGACCACACACGCTAGCTGATCTAACAAGAATGTAGCAGTCCCCCAGTAGTAAGAGATGTCTGCACCTGAGGGAGAGCAGTGCATCAAAATTTTCACCATTTGCCAACCAAATCAGTTGTCTAACAAACTTACAGTCGATGTAAAAATATCAGGCTACATGCTTAGTGGGGGAAAACGTTGTTTAAGCCAAAAATAGGTGCTTTCTGAGGTATCCCACCATCTATATTAGTAAGCACCAAAAATAGCGTCCTGTTAAAAGATTCCAACGAATTCCATAAAAGTTTTGTTTTTAGTTTTATTCACGAGTCCGAGAATACAACCATCGGATCAACTACAGAAATGAAGAACTTGTTCCAGCTGTATACAGGTTTTACCCCTATAACCCATATCGTTTATAAAACTGTTTGCGTTTGCACTTGTGTTTTTGACCACGTGACAATGAAATATTACGGGACAGCACCAACGGCGCCATTAATAAAGTGATACTGATCGATGGTTTATCATGCGGAAACATCAAAACTCGGATTTGCTTCCCACAGAAGATTGGAAGGAAGTCATATTCAGGCGTCCTGATTTCTCTAACGAATACAATCGAATGACGGTACCTTCTTCAAAAGTAACAGCCTAAAATCACATCGTGCAAACAGCCAACCAGACCATATGAGCTGTCCAAATTGCGATTTCTCTCACCATTGAGCCTTGCATTCTTCCAGTAGTGATTATGTAAAATTTAACCTCGTGTACATTCTGTTCAGCAGAGTGATTCTCTTTATACTCGTGTGTTTAAAACGCGAGAGGTCTTAGATCTTCAGTCTGGAATGAGGGGCCTCTTCGTACCCGGTGTATTCAGTATCTGGTTGTAAGTTGCTGAACCCAACTTTTTTCTAGGAAACTGTACCTCAAACGACAGTCACGAAAGTTCATCAAGGCTTATCCTGGGACCAATTTCGTTACAATGTCTTTGTTGCTTAGCCTGGCTTCCCTCACAGTCATCTCCGGCGACTACCCTGATTGATGATGTAAATGAAACCAGTACACCGCTTCCGGAGCTTAACCTGACCAGGGACACCACTGGTCGAATCCAAAATCATGCTTCGGTTGGTATGGTATTCGAGAAAACGCAATACCTTAGGCGGTCTTCGTGCAAAACAATCAGTTGCTTAACAGCATCATAAACGAGAGATTCAGTTGGATTCCAGATGAGTCTCTTGAAAAACCGAATCGGTTTGCAAATGAGTGTATTTCATTAAGTTCGAGCAATTTCGGTTCAAGCAGAACATACGGTTGGCGAAAACTGAGACAGTGCACCTACCTGACGAGCCCCAAGAAGGGGGTAACCATGCATGGGCTTTCGAAGAGTTTTGAGTAACTTTGTGAGGAGTTTCCTCTATGAGCTCGTTATTGACATTTACGTGATAAATAGAAACGACTAGCCTCTCGGTGCGCAACGACGACTAGAAGTTAGGATAATCGGACTTGGATTGTCATTATTGCCCTATTTCTCCATATTGTGCATTAGTAACTGAGAGGAGCATGGAGCCATCTGAAAAGGATAAGCAGTGACTACTCAAGTAAATGTTGATTTGAGAAGAATGGCAAGTGACAATCAGTTAGCCACTCCAGTATTTACACCTTTTATTCTCCTGCTCTATTAAGCTAGAGAGTAAAAATCGTAGCCCGAACGAACATTTGAAAACAAGCCTTAGGTCTTTAAGAGGGCTGGCTCCTGAAGAAAGAAATGAAATTCGAGCTTCTTGTTCATTTCTAGGGATCCCATGACTGCTTTACAAAAATGAACAAAAAAAGCAAACAAAAATGCTCAAAGGTAACCCATCAATGGCGTTCAGGGGGTTTAAAAATATGCCTGGTTGTTTATAATACTTCTCCAGCCTCATATGCTTTCATCGACACCACATCCCATTGAACAACCTGTACTTTGATATCATGGGCCTTCACTTATACAGAAACACGTCCGTCGTATGCGTCAACCGATCGATTCAATGCCATTTCCCCTTTATTTGGGATCACATCGCTGTGTGTAAAGTACAGTTATTCAGTCTCCCGTGTCGAACAGGAAAACCAAACATGGGGCCATTGACTTATCCAGTACGACAAATCATGTTGGTGCTCTAACGTCAAGCGGTCATTTCCGTAATAGTGATTACCCCAACGCAGAACAAAAGCTGACGATATTCTTAGTGGTGTAATTCATGTTTCATGGAACTGGTATCCCAGTTGCGGCATCGACAATCCAAGAACCTTGTCCATTGCCACGATGAACAATAATCGGGAGAGTGGATCTCCTTGCCTCACACCTCTGTGGCAGTGAACCTCAGAATTGGGGAAGACTGCTACAGCATTCTCATAGGATTGTGCGACGTATCGAACTAGAGGTGACGGTGATCCAAACGCCTCGGCAGATCTGACGATTGTGTCATGCGAAACCGAATCGAACGCTTTCGAGATATCGATAAACGCCAAGTTGAGGTTAGAACCAGTCGCTGAAGAGTGACGAAGCAGGGCATGTAACATCGATGTGGCTTCCTAGCAGCTGTCTCGATGCAGAAATGCAAACTGAAGTGAGGGCAGTTGCAATCTACGACTCCAGCGATCAGCAAGCACCTTGTGGAATCAACGGATAAGAATGCATGACACGGAGATCGGTCTCAGTTGATCAGGTGAAGTCGGATGTGGGACCTTCGGAACTAGCGTAATATGGGCTCTACACAGATGTGGGGGACAACCCCCAGATAACAAAAATAAGTTGAAATACCCAGCGACCACATTAGCATTGAACCGGCGGAGCGTCCTGGGTGTGAGCTGGTCCAGGCCTGGGGACGAATTGCCCATTAAACGGATCGTACGGCCAACTTCCTCTCCTGTAATTGGCTCGATCAAGCTCTAGTCGGATGGTACTACTATGCGACTTGGTCGGCTATCCGCGTGTTTTGGAGCTG